ATTTATTTATTTATTTATTTATTTATTTATTTATTTATTTATTTATTCATGTCAGAATCAGTTCACCATTGTTTGGAGGAGAGGATGTCATTCCAAGCCGTTACCTTGGTAACAGCCGGTCTTTTTTCAAAATAGGCTATACTGAAGAATCACAATGTATTATCATATATTGATAATAACCAAACGTCACCCACAAATTATTTTTTCGAAAGTACTAAAATTATCATAATGTACGGCAACAGTGATTAAAAAGATTAATCAGTCTTATTCACAGTTTTATAGGACATAACATTTGTGTAAATGTTAAAAAGGGTACATTCTTTAGGCTGCTATGTCATGACATTTCTCAAGTTAATACAGTGTCATCACCAAAAATGGGACGGGGCAACAAACCTCTGGAGGAGCATGTTACTGCTGATAGTGTTGAATGGCAACAGGTCCATGAAATGATTAGACACGCAAAGAGCACCTTAGAGAGTCCGAGACTCTCAGAGGTAAAGTGGTGGAAAAGGGTTTTATTGTTAGAATCTGTACAGATTGTGAAAGGGACTGAGAGCTGGAGTACCAGAGCTCACACATACATGAAGAGAATATGCAAACTCCACAGGTTCCCCGTCCCCCAGGGATTCAAATCCTCTTGCTTTGAGCCAAGGCAGGCCCAACACCACATCATTTGATAGCCTAACTTGATTTATTGTTAAACACTCAAGGAAAGTCCCCAAATAAATCTAAATAAAGATGCATAAATTAACTAACAGAAAATCAGCCCAAAAGTAAAACTAAATAATCAGATAGCATGTGCATACTTATAACAGGAGAGGCGACCCACCCGGATGCTACACTATCAAAGGATTCAGACATCTGAAAACATCTTTTCTGAGACAATATAAAAGTGAGAAACTGTTCTGCAGTCAGATGATTCATCAAAATATTGTTTGGAAATCATAGACCTCATGTCTTTCAGACCAATGAGAGGACGGATCACCCAGTATAATATGGGATTGCTTTATTTCCCATGAATTAACCAGACGCACAGCTCTCAAAACATGATTGATTTCACATGTGAGATGGATCTGACAAAACACAGAAAATGGTCCAACAGTCATTTCGAACATATTTTATGTCATTGTAGAATGTCTGACCTTATCCAGCAGCTACAGGCAAACATGGTGTACTAATGAGCAGTGACACTGTTGTGGTAAATAAAACCATTACTGTATGATCTGGACTCTGGGGCTTATTTTTAGCTCAATGTTCCAAGCACATTACAGCTTAGCCTCTCGAACAATTTGACCTGTCTAAAATGCAGATCAAACTCAATATTTGAGTCTAAAAAAAGAAAATTCAAAAGGTTCAAGTTCTAAATAGAAAAAACAATATTTAAACAGTTCACAAACAGTCTTTTAAAAAAACTTGCTATTCCACTTGTTATGCTGAGACTATGGCTGAGCAAACACTGAGACCCGTTTCTTGCCTCATCTTACATCACACCTAGTGTCACTTTAGACATCAAGTGACTATTACATGAGAGCGCCACAGTGCTGCTGTACCAGATCACTGGTTTGTGTTACACATGTTAAATTCATACCTTCTTGGGAGCAAGTACATTGATAAAATATTTATTTCTGTCTGTACTATTGTTAAACTTGTACATTTCCAAAAGGGAAAAAAGACTGAAGTCTTGCCAACACAAATTTGATTTTAAATAGGGAATTAAAAAAGATTGACTGTCTTTACCTATAAAAAAAACACATATGTAGCAGTAACCAGGCTTCCCTTAAAAATAAAATAGTACTAATAAAAATAAAATCACCCGACAACCTTCCTGCTCTTTGATTTCTGACAACATACCCAAATAGGTATCTCATTAATATCCCCCAAAACCATCTGTCCAGTGTGTCTCCTCCTCAGAGAAAAATGTTCACAGTAACAAAAAAGCAGGATTGCCTCATTACCTCATGTTGCCCTCATTAACATTTAATTCAACCATCATGTGCAAGCTTTAATGGTTCCAGTAATTCTGGAAATGCTGGAAATGTGGATACACATGAGACAGTAATGGCAGCAATATAAGTATTTACCAGTAGTTTGCATTTCATAGAACAAAAAAGATATCAAAACAATAGATTCATGAATCTAGATTTGATAGGTTCTTGGTATCCAGAAAAGGAATCGAGACATCAAAAATACTGACCAAATGCCAAATGACTATCATCTCTTTGTCTATGACAACTGTATGCAGTTTATTGTGAAATTTGAGAAATGCTTTTGTACTTTATCATGCACGGTTGACTGTGGATTTCGATTTATTAATCATCTCTTTAAAAACAAAAAGAAAAAATACAGTTTTTTCTGCTGGTAGGTCATGATGTACTTTTACGTGTTTGTTTGTCTTTTAGCTGAGCTGAAGAAGCCTCTGGCTGAAGACAAAGAAATTGAACATACATCTCTATCTTTCGTTAAGCACCTTTTTCAATAATGCTCTCTGCAAAAATGGCTCCAGGGCTGAGGGAACATATAGCTAACAGTCTCTATCAGTTGCCTATTCTAAATTCTTTTCAGTCACTGGCTCTGATGCTGCTGCAGAAATCCCAAATGGGTAAGAAGAATGGGCTGTGCAAACTTTTGAGAAAGGAGAGAGTACAGTTCAATATGGTGCCCCCTTTGTTATTGACTGCCATCTTAGATATAAAAGCATTTTCATAAACTGGTGTGTTTCTGAGGTAGTCTCGCATTACAGTGCAGACTGAATTTTATGAAAAGCATTGCAGACATTAGAGAACACTTTCCTCACGGTGCTCCCTCTTTTGTCCAGATGAGAGCGGGCTTGCTGACGCCTTTAAAACACTGACATGACTTGAGCCAAAAACAGCCTCGGGACTTGTATGACATGGGAAATTAGAACAACTGGTCTGTAGATATTGCTGGACATTTATGTAGCGCAGCCTAGAACTACTGTTTTTAACCCTTCACCAGTTTAACCATAATTTTGGCATATGTGTTTGATGTATGAGAATGTGTTTGTGATTGTATGTAAGTAAGCTATGCTGCTTAATGACCTCCTATGCAGCAGAATGAAACTAAAGATTGACTTTTGATAATGAATTGAATTAATCACATATCCTTGTATGCAATTGTTTTCTTTAAGCGATCTTCCTTTTTAGTGTTCAATTGTCATTTTAGACATTTTAAATACATTTATTTAATCTAACACTATATATGGAATCCATTTTTTCCTATTATGATTTTTATTTCATATTCATGTAATACAGCATAAAAGGACAATATTTCCCTCCAAAATAGTCCAAAAATTAGAAAATTGTTTTCTATTTTGTACGTGCAAGCTATGTGACTTATTTCATGCTTGTTTACCAAGATGATCAACCAACCGGATTTACTCCTACCGTCAGTTAACCTAACTTTCTTGTTTTTAGACTGTCTGGGGGAAGCCGGAGAACTTGGGGAGAACCCATGGATCCATGGGGAAAACAGACAAACCTCACACAGAAAGGCCCCCAGTCCCTTTCATGAAGCCAAATATATTCTTTTTCATGTTTGTAACTCAAAGTGATATTCTTGTTGTACTATGCATCAGTATAGTTTGATCCGAAGCATGAAATATTGACGTGCAGCACGCACTTGAGGAATAAAAAGGGTATTGTAGTCTACAAGCTCTGGGGGTGCTCCCACAGCTAGGGGCCAGGGGTAATCACAGTGCCTCTACTTTCCCAACATCAGCATCTAGAATAATGTATGCATGTGTTCTCTATTGTGTGTCAGCCTGTCTTCTTTAATCCTGCAGCACTGCATTACATTGTCTGGTCTGACAAAGAGCTTTCTTTTCTGTCTTTTTCTCCTTAGAGGAATAAACAAACTCAAGTCCCATTGAAATGTTTTATCTATTCATTTGAAATCATGGTGTTTGAAGCTCATTTTTAGGATTTTAAGCTCTTTGTGTTCTATAAGTGGTATATTTGCTTTCCATACAAATATAAACCAGTTCAGCAGGATAATGCAAATGCTGGTATGGAACTTCCATAAGATTTTCATTTTCCCCAGCTGACTTGCAACCTTGATTTTCTCTGCATTATACTGCCACACCATGGCGGATAGTTGTCTAGCAGAGGAGATTTAAAAAAAGCTAAGCTAGCAGTGAGCAGAGGGTTGTAGACAATCAACAAAGTCACATTAGTTTGTCTACACTGTGGACAGAGAAAAGTAAGCATTTGAGTCAGACAAACTCTCCAACTCCTTTTGAGGGCACTGGTAAATTACTTTGTGTTGATTTTATGCAAGAGGAATATTTTGTTCAGTGACATTCTGTCCTTCATACAGACGACATATCTCCTTACTTTTTCCTCATGATATCATTTTCAATTATTTTAATATGAATCAGCACATGTGTGTTGATACAGATATATAAGATCCATTAAAATCTTCCTAAAATGATGCAAACACATCATTTCTGCATCAGGTATTAGCCTCAGAATCTGACTTCTTTGCACTCGCAATATTGACCATGAGCAACACAGTATACCAAAGTATTCACAGCTGCTCAATCCATTTTAGGCTTTTAATTCAATAAAAGGTGAAGGTGCGAGCAGTCGAGATCGGGCAGGAGAAGAAGCTCACTCTGAGCCAGTAGGCAGTGTATTGCAGGACCACAAAGAGACACTCTCACTCCTAGAGTCATGTTACCGGTGTACCGAACATGTATATTTCTGGATAGTGAAATGAAGCCAGAGTACTCAGAGAACCCAGCTATAAATGTTAGGAACATGGAAAGACCCAAGCTGAGATTTGAGTAAGGAACACAACTGATTTACATCAGAATGACTGAAAATAAAAATTATCAAGGCGTTCCAATGGTCCAGTCCAAGTTCAGACCTCAACTGCCATGGGGTAGTGGCTCCATACAAAAGCTGTGCTCCCTGAAGCCAAGCAATTAAGAAAAATGTCTGAATGTGTATCTACGAGTTTCTATCTTCTGTTCCTGAGCCTTAATGCGATGTAAAAATAACCCAAATCACTAGTGTTTCAAAGTCTTAACAGTTTTTAATTCTAATTCAAATTTAATTAAAATACTTTATCTATTCCTGAGGGAAACTATGTTGATTTACTTTATTTTTACAGCGCTGATAAAACTTAAAATAAGAGCTGTCATCGTGTTGGAGAGAATTTAGTTTTGGGTTGACACTTTAATTTCCCTGCAAGCGAGCAAAACGCTCCCCTGTGATTTTGCAGCCAATCAAAACCATGCTGACACTGACAGCTGCCAGGTGCATCATGGGACTTGATGTTCCCGCGACGCCCACAACGCGGCAGCGCTGCGGTCCTCGCTGCGGCGGAGGACTACAGCGCCCCGGGTCCTGGACAGAGGCGGCTGGCGTTGACAGTTGGTTGGTACTCAGAGAAGTACAGCGGCACAAACATCGTCCGGCTGTTTCTTTTTTTGCGAGGGCTTTCCCGTTTGCCAAAGGTTGACAGCCGCAAACATGCAGTCCGAATCGGGAATAGTTCCAGACTTCGAGGTCGGAGAGGATTTTCAAGACGAGCCCAAAACGTACTACGAATTGAAGAGTCAGCCTCTGAAAAACAGGTCAGTTGTGTGGCCGTGGACAGTTATTTCCCACGCTGGAGTGGTTTTGGTGTTTAGGTGATAATTGCCCCGCGGTGCTTCTGAGAGGTGACCGGAGGCCGGGCCGGTGGAGGCTTCCCCTGGGATGTCTCTCTGGAGCCGGTCCCAGCGCGGAGCGGTGGAGGGGGGTTTGGAGTCATCCTGCTGCCTATCCTGCTGCTGTAAAGTTATGCAACTCCTGGGTGTTGTCCTGTCAACATCAACTTCAAATATTAGCTCGGGACGCGGAGGCAGGTCAGAGTTTGTGCGAGATGCTGCTGAGCGTTCTGACGGCTGAAAAACCGAGGGGAGGATGGCGAGGAGGGGATTCCCGTAAAGCAGCCGCTGGGACTTATACGTGAGAAAACACGCCGCTTTATGGCACCGGGACCAGATCTGTACCTATATGTAAAGACCCAAAGGCTCTGTGGATTTCTGCCAGTCACTGGCCAACACCACGAGTGAAACAAATCAGCACCAAAGCCGTACTATGGTATTTTAAACAGTTGATAGTTTGCAGACTTGTGTGGAAGTTTGAGGACTACACAGTTCCTGCACAGGATGGACTGATCTCCATCCCTGGCACTTTTGCAGTCAGTCCCCACTTTGCTGAGTAAGGTCTGGGTGGTCTGGCTTCACCTTTCACCCTTCCTCTCACAGAACTGCAACCTGTTTGTTTGCTCTCTGAGGTTGTGTACTTATCAAAGAGTTCCTTCTCTACTTTGTGAGAAAAGAGATGTGGCCGCGAGGTGAAAGAGGGGGCGCGTGTTACTAGCTGCATCTCTCCAGCCAGTAACACGGGACCCCTGTGGAGGAAAAAAAGAGAGGCTGACGTCTCGACTTGACTAACAGGAATCCGTCTCATGGCTGGGATGCATTTTGGCTTCAGTCATGAAATAAAACCCACCTGTATGTAGATTTTACTTCTGTGCCAGGGCCATTGGGTGGGTTGCTGGCCCACTGGGGATTGTTTTCTGGGGTTGGCTTTGGAACAGGTGAGGGTTTGGGGCCTGGGCTGTGGTGGACCCTGCAGTGTGCAGTGGTTCCACGCCTCATGGGGCTGCTGCATGCATGGGTCTGTGCACAGGCACAGTCCTTTCCACCCATTATTAGCCAGAATACACTCGCTCACGCCCACTCCCATACACTCCTTCACATGCTTGTGGTGGCGTTTCGACATCATTCTGTAGCTTTAATCATCAGAGTTCACAGATATTTATTTATATTCTTGCTGATGTTGCTGTCTGGTTTTGCGTAGGTGTTACTTAAACACTTGATGATGTCATTATTTTCTTCCTGCATCTTTTGTCTCCTCTCTCTTCAGTTCAAGCCGAGAAAAAGGGCACTGGCAGCGTTATTTTGCCTGCCATGATGCAGGAGAGCACAGAATGAGCTTTAGGTTTCGATGCAGCTGTGAAGTCGGGGGAATGTTCATGATAACGGCTAATTACTAACACGCATTAACAGAATGGTGTCAGATTTTCTGTCTCGTGTCAACGCCCCTCTGTTTGGAGGTAGCGAGCGCAGCCTCGCTGTCGGGACAGAACAGAACAGTGCACCACTGTCTCCACACCAGGCACATTCTTTTTTTTGTTTTTTTTGTTGCTGTCACTTCTCCTCCTCAAGTCCTCCATATTTTGCCGGAGATTTGCCGTTTAGCGCACAAAAGCCAAACCGGAGTTGAGAGAAAAGAACCCAAAGGAGCATCCTGGCTGGTTTCTAACCTCTAACCCACTTCTGCATTTTTTAAGCTAACGTCTTCAATTTCTTCATTAGTGAAATGCGATTACACTGTTACACTGGGAGCCGGAGCTGTGCTGCATTTGAGGCCTGCTGCAGCCGCGCAGAGCAGCCCAAGTTAAGTTTCACCGCTTCGCTTAACGCAACCTCCCCATAAAGAATACAGCCGTGCAAACGTTTGCCTGAATGAAGGTGTCCCACTTCCTCTTCCAGTCACATGAGGATGACCCAGCGGGACGACAGTCACGATGACTGTGTTGTTATGACATTATTGCACACGGCGGATAAAATTAGTCCGGTCGACTTCTGACTTGCCTGACACGTTGTAATAGCTCCCTCAGCTCTTTCTATATTAGAAGTCTTGGGTGTGACAAAACGTCGCCTCAGCTGTGGCAGATCTGTTTGTTCTTCTAGCTTCTGAAGCAGTTTGACAGAGTGCTGCAGACCATGTGCCAGACATTTTGTGCCTTTAAATAGAAGTGAGACAGATACTGAACTAGTGCTCTATGCAGTGTAAATAAGCCGTTTAAATATAGCAGTGGAAGTGGTACATCTAAAACTGTGACTTGGAGTTTTTCTTTTTTCTTTTTTTCCCCCTAAACTTTTCATTCCCAGTCAAATTGACGCCAAGACTTTTAAAAGCTTAACCCGTGTTTTCGTGTGCATGTATTTGGATACAACTCTGATCTCCATTTGCCTGAAGGAATATTACAGGGGATGCACGTCTGAAAGTAATCCAGGCACATTTATCAAACATCTTAGTCTGACATATATTGAGGGAAAGGCTCTCACTCGTTTATCCAAGGATCTCTAAATGTCCACATGTTTGTTTTGTCATTTTTGGCAGCAGCCAATCATCACAAAAGTCAGCGGGCCTTTAGTTGAGGACAGATGTGTGTTTCTCTTCTTCTCGTTTTCCAAAAGTTTTTGGACTTTCACAACTGCTGATTACCAGCAATTGATTTGTCGAGAAAGTGCAGGCAAACTATCAGTGCCCACATTTCACCTCAGCTGCTGAAAAACAGGCCAGATAAGACTCAGTCGCGTTAAAGGAGGAAACTAGTGCTTCTGTGGTTCCTTCCATGTGTTTTCATGCCCTTCCGGTCCAGAAAATATCCTTAAAATTATATAAAATAACACAAGATCAGGGTAACAGTCGGCATATGTGTGACCACAAATTGAGAAGAAACAGTCTGCCATGGAAAATAAAAATGAAAAAAAATCTGATGCTACCTTTTGAACTTTTCATTTATTCTCAGGGTTTCGGTTAATACGTTCTGTAATCCCAGAACTTTGTCTTTCTCGTGTTTTTTCAGACTATTTTACCTTTATTTGTGTTGCTCAAAGTTCCCATGAATCTGAAACACTATTAATTGCGAATGTCCCCGTTAAATATGTGTCACTCTGACACTTTAAGTCTTGAGTTTGTACAGCACTGTGAGGTTTCTGCACATTCATGCAGATTTGCTTTTAAAGAATCTTGAAATAAAAGGTATCAGCTGTTGTGAGGGCAGTTTAACCAGAGAAATGAGCCTCTGCTGTGTAGGTAATACTTCCTCTGCTCTAATTCATTTCAGAGGATCAATACTTTTTAAAATCTTTAATCAGATATTCTCTCCCTTTGTGTTGACAGCAGTAAGTTACAAAACAACTTAGTGCACCTCACTCCTTGACTGTTTTTCTTACAGTTTTGCTGGCTTAGCCCTAAATATAGAACAGGGTTTTAGACAATGTTTTGAAAAGGTCAAAGCGGCCATCCTTAGACAGAGAGCAGAGTCAGAGGTTGATGGTTATGAAAGTTTGCATTGGGAGCATCTTGTTCCTGGGGGGGGGGGTAGCAGGCAGAGATACCAAAGAGGTCGAAGAGTTGCCCCTGTGATCTAAGAGAGATGAAGAGGCTACATGACACGAACAGGTGTTAGGACTTGAGTAAAATAGGGTCTGGACAGCATGTCCTGCATGTTCTCCGTGTCTGAGGCTGCTCTCTGGCTCGGTAAAGAGACATCCTTACGCTTCCTCCCCGGGGTACCTCACTAACCTGGGAGTTTTTTCGGGTGCGTTAACAATGACTTGTGATCTTTGTCATCCTCTGATGGTGCCCACGTGGAACTGCATCATCACAGAAAAGTGAATTGAATAGATTTGTTTTTTCTCTTGATTTTAAAAAACAAAACTATACATTTTTGCAATAAAGAAACCAGAATCTGGGAATCTTTGCCAGCCTAAGCTGCCGTGTGTGAGTTGATTGCTGATTTCTGAATTAAATAAGGTCAAGTTAAATCAATGTTGCCACGTTCACAGAAAACTGAATGCAATTCTCTCTTAAGAGTTACAAGAAAAGTGATTCACTGTGTTACTACTACCTCCTTTAAATGGTCTTAAAAACTGTGTGCACTCATTCATACCTGCTTCAAGAGGGTGTATGATGTCCTCCTCCTGGCTGACCTTGAATGTGTTGTTCTCCACTTTTTATTTTAGCTGGAGGGGAAGAGAGGGAGCAGGAGCTTTAGAGAGATATCCCACTGAAAGCAAATGAGGGGAATCAAGAAGGGCACAGAACCTAACTATAAGAATGAGGCTCGAAGTTATATAGTGCGCCATAGACTTTTAGCTGGGTTTTGATTCAATGTTTGCATGAATTAAAAAAGCAAATATTTTACCCCAAAAAATCTTTTCTATCTTTTCAGTCTGTTTTACAACATGGTCTGTATCTAGATGCTTTTCATACAGTCTGACTCAGCACAGTGCTATTTGATATATCCCAGCAGATACAATGCAGACCACTACAGCTTTTTTAGACATTTGCTTAATGCTCGTTGTTATTAGACTTTATAAATCGACACATGCATTCTTTAAATGCAGTGTTGGCTATCTGTCTCTTGTTATTTGTATTTTCACACCGTGGATGTTGCTTGTTTGTTTGTTTTTTACTGCATGGCCTGTGACATAATTAGTGGTCTGGACATGCTGCTTCCCATTATCATTGATTAGTTTGCTGACTCCAGCGACTGATGCCAGCTGCAGCACAGTGGTGTGTGTTAGCGGAATGCCGTGTCGTATTTATGGAGAGATGCCAGTGCCTCGGTTTCAGCGGAGACAGATTTGCCATGAGCAGTCAGTTTGAAGGAATATATTTTGGCACTTTTTCTTTTGCAATCCAATTTGGCATCTCCCCAGTTTTGACACTTCTCTTCCCCGCATTGCCTGTGTAGCGTGTAGCATTCTCAGGTCATTGTATTATCACAAGATCTCACTATATGCCTATTCTGGACTGTGAATGGAACTGAAACACTAATTAGAAGCAGAAATAAATGCAAAGAAAGTTAACTAAACTAAGAAATGAAGCATCCCCTGGGGTAGGGAAGAGGTGAGGAAGCATGATGTCTCCTGGTCTTGGTTACTGTTTTAAGAACTACTCGAGTTTACATATATTTTGAATAATGGCAGTGTATAGTGCTGTTGCTTTATTGGTTTACACGCATTTAAATGTAACGGAAGTGCTATCGTCAGTTAAGAAATGTGTTAGCAATGTCAACAAAGAAGAAAATGTAACCTAATCTGGCCTTCCTAAATATTCAGAGATGCTTGTAATATTTTATTTTTTGTTTGCATTTTCTAATAAGTCGAGCCTGTGAGACATGAAGGACTTGTTAGTCCTATATGGCTTCATGAAATGACCTTAAAGAATACTTTTTTTTTATTACCCAGCTTGATCGAAATGAGTTCATTTGTTTGTGAAATTTTAGAGATGCAAGGATATGAGAGCACAGCGAGCCGAGTCCCGGCTCACACGTGGTGACACGTCTCTGAGTGAAACTGTATCCGTGCGGTCATACACGGTGTGCTAACCCAACGGACAGTGTGTTTCCAGTGGGCACTGGCCCTCTCCTTTCCTGTGCTCCGCCGTTGCCCTGGACGGGGCTGGTCTCCCGCCGGGGACTGTAAGGTGATTGGAGGTTCCTGGACGGGCCCTGGAGCCTCCCCCCTCTGACACACTTTCAGGGCTGCACCAGCAGCTCCACTTCCACTGCTCTCCAAGGGCGGCGGGTACACCTTCAGGGGAAAAACAAACAAATATGGAGGCTGCACGAGTGCAAGTGTACAGACCCTGCTCATTTGACTGTTTGTGAGTATGGCACCTCGGCATCTGTTATATTGTTGCCATGCGGTGAGACGGGGTTTAGGAATCTGTGTAGGGCTGTACAACACTTCAGGCACAGGTGAAGGGCAATGTGTGGGAAGTAGATACAGTCAAAACAGTCGAGGAATTCTCCTTGCGCGTGTTCTCTAGAATATCAGAATAACTATTGTTTGCAGTTTGTGACTGATTTATTAATCTTACATGTAAGTGCTTAAGAATGTCCATTCATGTTTCCTCTTAAATATTTGCTAAAGTGTGATTTATCAATAGTTAATTAGGATGAGGAACATCTATATTACAGAATATGTTACCTAAAAATCTGTGTTTTCTGTTCACTGATATGCCCTTCTGTTCTAAACATTACTTACTCTTCTTATTCTACATGCAAAATGAATTCTGAGTTGCTTTGTGCCCTTAAATCCAGCTTGAAAGTCTCAGCTGGGACTGATGATGGATACCATGGAGCTCCACAGTGAGCACAATCAGACAAATCATGAGTTGGTGTGGGTGGGGCTCAACACTGTGCTGCCATTGTTTTTGTTTTTTTTCTGTTTTCTTTCCTCAAAGATACAAACAAACACGAGAGGAAGCACACACAAGAGGGAAAAGGTTAAAAAGGCACAAAAGGGCTTTTTATGTGTTTCAGTGGTTCGTCTGGCAACATGCCACCGGGCAAAAGAAGAGGAAGAAACAGAGAGAGGCAGAAGTTTGGGTTTGCTATGTAGAGAGGAATCACTCCGGCCCAAAACCTTGGAAATATTCAATAAAATCTCACAAACTGCTAATAGCTTTTTTTAGGTAATTTCTGGACGTGATCAAGAGGAGTTGAATGAAGTTGATTTTGTTTGGGATACACACAATGCTTCTACAGTCAAACCAAAAAAAATCATGTCTCCGGATATTTCCAATCTGCAAAAAAAAAATCATCAAATAAAGAGACTGCAACACAGAAAAGCACTGTCACGTTTGAACATGGAAGCACTGGGCAATTCATTTCACAGCTTGTAAAACGCATCCTCTGGACATATCGGCATCACATGTCTTTAAAAGAATATTCAAGGGATTTGCATCAAATGAAAATGAAGCCGCTGATTTTGGCACTCTACTCCAGGACTAATACGCACCTGTCTCAGGAATGCTGTGAACAGCTCCCACCAGAGGTGCTTCTTTCTGCACAGTAGTTTGATGGACATAGTTATTGCTAACATTGTTTTTCCTGTTTTTTACCCTTTTGAGTGGTGTTCTGCCTTCATCGTGCTGTAATGTTCGAGTCGACAAAGAATGCGCTCTCGCTCTGGCTGCCTGCAGGGGTGTGAAGACTGCTAGGCCAAAGAGCCCCTGCCAACGCAGCCGAAGAGCTTTCTGCATTAGTTGCTCTCCGGGGGGGGGGGACGTGCAGCTAAACCTGCAGCTCAGCATGTAGAAAGATGCTTTATCAGAGATGTTTTACACTGTTTTGTCGGCGAATTAAAGCTACCTCTCTTTTCTGCGTGAGAGAGCTGGTGACCCGTCACTGGACGACAGTGAGCACCACTCTACCCCCTCGGGAGTTTGAATAAGAAAAAAGGGCATCCACAAAAAATGGTCAGCAGGCAGTGAAGCAAGAAGTGCATCATTGTACTTCTGTTGTGATCCTTTCTCTTTACGCTGTTGTCTGCAGTTGTAGTTAGTTTGTGGGTCCCTCAGCGTTCACTTCTACACATCTCAATCAGGCGACTGGTCCTTGGCATGACCCCCTCTTTGTCCAGTCTTCCATAGTATGCTATGTCTCCATCATCTGCGTACTAGAGTGTGGTGCAGTTAGCCATCCTGCTGTCAGTTAAAATATCTCAGAATGGCTGAAGTGCCTCTGGGCATAAATCAACAAACACTTGAGAGCTGGTGCTGCTTGAAGCCGTGCGCTCACGTGCAATCACACTGCACCACACAATCAGACACCTATGGAGAGTTTCTGCTCGTGGCAGATTTATTCGAGCTTCATTTAGCAGCGAGTCTCTGGTAAAAGGCTGGTCACTTCTGTCGCAAAACCGCTCTTGGGTTTAAGGATGTGTTTGTTGTTCTTCTGGACACGTGTTCAAATTGCCTTTGCATTAGGGATGTGGAGCTCTGCTCCATTCACTGCACCTCGATACCCTGCCAGTGATACGACACATTAACCGTACAGTAACACTACCCACTGATGCGATGCAATGCAATTCAGCTCTGCTCACAATATGATGCAGTTTATTGATAACTGACGAGGATTTGACTTGGTATGATGTGATTTGGCTCAGTATGATCCATGATGAGACTCAACCTACACCTGGTTTTGGAACATCGTCTTTGCTCTCCCTCTCTCCCTATGAAAGATGGATTTTATAGTTTGATTTAATTGTTTCTACATAGCACCAATAAGTCCACCTTGAATAGAAGACACAGTTCACTGTGATACAGACAGTGGATTGCTTTATTCCCAGTAAAAAGTAAATCCTTAATTTTTAATCTTTTTTAATCTCATTCTCTACCTAAACAAAAAAAATCCTGCAAACTTTGGACTTGCACATCTTCAGACTTATGTTGTATATGTCTTGCTTCCTCTTGTCCCACTTTTCTTTTGTTTGTTTTAATAACAAAGCGATGTTACGTTCCAGGCGCCTCAAAAACAAGAGAGCTGAGGAGATAATATGTGTTAATAGATGTAAACATGTTGCTGTTGGAGACACGCTCAGAAAGATTACAGCGCATTTAGCAGCCCGTTGTATCTAATGCACATTGAAGCTAAAGGTACAGTCCACGCATTTATGAGCTGTGCAATAACAAAAAGCCTGCTAGTTTTGTGTATAGTTCTTAATTTCCTTATATTCACTGAAAATAATGCAGCTGAAAGAATTGTTGTTCCTATATGCATGCGTTCACACAGTGAAGCAGATTAAACACAGAAAGGAAAAACTCAAAGCTTTTGAGCTCTGGCAGGGGAAGTAGTGAGTTTTACCATTAGATCCATTTTGTTTGAAATTTCTGGGATGAAAGGAAACACAATCGGCACAAGTCACACGGACAGGGGAATTAAGCATGAACATTAAACCTGATTCTGAGCTCAGGGTACAAAAGAACCCCCTTCTAGAAAAAAAAAGAAAGAAAGAACAAGCTGTCGGATTGGGCGAGTCAAACTGCTGCAATACTCTCATGAAGCGAGCTCAAATTTAGTCTGCCATTTAAAATCTTATTGGATGTCACTGTGCATAATGATGGAATGTCTAACATATCAGTTTTTCAGTGCAGGTATCTGTTGTATTGGGACATGAGATATACGCAGAGTTGGGGAGATATTTATGGTATGTTGAGGGCTCGACATTGACTGAATATGCTGTGGACCGAGGCTGCGTTTGACTGGACGGGCTAATTAGTGCGATTACTGCACAGCTGGATTGGCCAGACGTTTTACTGGGCTTTATCAAAAGGATCACTCACTCGATGAAGGCTTCATCCCGACAACTTCTGCTTCAGCAGAGTCCCTCTATTTTAGGACGGCTGGACTCTGTCTGGGGTGCAGCCGTCTAAATTTAAGAGAGTGGGAAAACTTAAACAGCCTTTTGCTTAGTGTTCCTCTTTCTGCGGTCTTTAACTCTGCTCATTTAAAGGCCTTTGTGAGCGCAGCAGGTCTCGGCTCCCTGAAACCATCAGAAATGTGTCCATTTGTCATTTTAGAAACGTCATCCGAATGGATGCATTGATCGTAGCTTGTTCTCATCGCTTCTTTGGTTTTAATCACCGTTGCTGATAAGGGAGAAAAAGAAGCCTGTTGCTGTAACTTTACAAACAAGACTCCTCTTTTGATCCCTGCCCCTTTTCTGCCAGTTCACTTTCATCGTGCTCAACGTCAGCCTCCCCTCCATCCAGTTTTTTTTTGCGCCCTTTTTTTTGCTTGACCTCCCCTTCGTTGCTTGACCTCAGTCTACCCTCTCAAATGCCGCTCTCCCGCTCTGTCTTGCGCTCTCTGATCATTCATCTGGCGTCTCTCTCCTCCTCGCCCCCCCCCCCCTCCCCCGCCCCGCCGCCCCCCCCGCCCCCTCGGGCCGGACCTGTTCCGCAGCAGTCCGTCGGAGCAGCACAGCTCCTCCAAGCCCCCGCTGAGCTCCTCGGCCATGACATCACGCATCCTGCTGCGGCAGCAGCTGATGCGGGAGCAGCTCCAGGAGCAGGAGCGGCGGGAGCACCAGCGCCAGCAGTCCTCCCAGTACCCACCCACCACAGTGGCCCAGACCCCCGCCATCAATGTCAGTGCCCCCGCCACCCTACCACCTGCTGCACAGGTGCCAATGGAGGTGCTCAAGGTAAGCAGCCGCGGCTCTGAAATCAGGGAGGAGAGGTGAGGAGAATGCGGCGGCCCTTTTTAACCATCAGCATAAAGTCTCCATCTCTGGAAGTTGTGTGTGCGTCATTCCTCCAGTCTGAAGGGTCCGGCCGTATTTATAGGTGTTGGTGACTCATGTGTCAACAGTCAGAAAAATCATGGTTTTTACTATAACTCAGTGTGAAAAAAAAAAGGGGGAAGAAGAAAAAAAAAAACACAGGGGTGAGTGAAGTGTGTTAAAATGCGTATATGGGGATTATCTTTCCTGAGAGAATTCCTCTTTAATGCATGCTGTGCTTCCAGCCATTTGGATTTAGCCATCTTTAATCCTATTTGCTCAGCTACATTCACATCTTTTCATAGCTTTGATTCTCTGGCAGTCCGAGGGACAGGCGACTGTTGAGGCTTTCCATATGAGTACAGAGCACTGTGTTGGACTTTAGATTTCAGCGGCACATTTTGGTAAGTTTGCTGTTTGTCTTCCTCATCTGTTTTGATCGGATGTTAGATGGGAAAAGCGGGACAGAAATGTGTCAGGGCTGTGTTGTGTAAACAGGGCTGTGCTTGTCTGACAGAGATTTTCTGTGACGCTGCTACTTTGTGGTCATTTCTTGTATTTTTCTTCTACGTTTTCCTTTTATTCCGCTATGTGCCGCTTAAGAAACTCTTGATGTGTGGCGAATAGTGAGAAAGTTCTGCACCTCCAGGCAAAAGCTTTGTGTTAGTACTTTCGGAGAAACTCTTTTAGAGAATCACTCACCTCAGTTTGGTCCAGTTTTATTTTCATGTGCACCATCAGCACGAGATACAGAATCGTGATGAAGTTTAGCTTGTGCCGTGCATGAATGGCAAGTTAGTCATGAGTGCTCATGCTTAATCATTATATTTTACCAGTATCAGTTTACATTGTCATACTCTTTGGATTTTGCACTTCTCTGTAGAGAGGAAGCATTCGATGTCGCCCTACTTTGGATTTGCGTTACTATGGAGGCTGGGTTCTATAATTTGAAACAAGATACAAAACCATCACTGCGTTAAATAGCAACACTTTTGAGAAACCCGCTGAAACACTTTAGAATTTCTTGCATCACTAGACAAATCTCACTCTCTTTGTAGAGCTTGTTGGACAATTTCCTTAAATGAGCAGTCTTACTGTTATGCAGGCAATAGATCAGAAGTTAACAAGTGTCATCTCCTCAGACAAAGCACGGAAGAAGATTATTTTGTTCCTGACCTCATGCTATATGACTAGTTCAACATCCAATAACTAATAAAATAAAAATGACCAAAACAGTCTTATTATCCAAAGCTATTGCCTTCTCTATGCTGAGGGCAAATTGCTCCCAATATGACTGTTATGTGCTTCTACTTATGAAAACTACCACCGTAACTGGGGCAGTGCTGTTACACATCCACTGACTGAACCACCTTTCTGCCCTCCTTCCACTCTAAAAACCTCTGCTTTGGACAGTAGCAGCTGTTTAGCCCTGTCACTGGAAGAAGAGGAGCTTGAATTGATGGAAAGTTTCTCTGTAACCTCAGATCCAAAGTCCTGTTTAACGCAGTAAGAGTTCCTCGCTGCCTTTAATCCATCCGCTGCGCATTTGGCGATTTCGTGGTTTCTTGCTCAGCCGCACTTTCGTCACTCTGGACGTGTGCAGCATGCCCCAGCGAGGAGGCACAAATACAGTATATCCATTCAAAACAATACCCCGCAGCATAAACATTAGTTGCTCTCCTTAATCTCCTGCTCTTTGAGAGGTTTAGGACGCCCCCACCCTGAACCTCTCACCCCGTACAACGTCAAATTAGAGTCGTTTCTCTGCTTTGGCCGGAGCTTACAGACATTCTTCTTTGACTGAAGTCTTCATATGAAAAGGCCGTTCCAGCTTGGCTCTGTTGAGCTGGGTTAACCTGCTCCCCTGTCTGTGGATAGATTAGCAGAGTCCACACAAAGCTCAGGGGTACCAGGCAGAGCTGCTGGACCTCAGAAAGTGCAAACATTAAGCTCAGATGAGTTTATCTAAAGACTGATTGGACCCTTAATTAACCAAGTGACCTGTGACCTTTTGGGGAATAAGTATGGGATCGGTTTAGGGATCAAGACAAAGGCCTTACCACACACCGAACGCTAATTCAGCGAAGAATGCTTGTAATTAGCCCCCACTGCCTTAATTCCAGGACATATTTAAGAGAAAAAAAACACTGCTTTGAAATTTGTGTGGGGTTGCTTCCTAAAAGGGTTAAAAAAATGATTTCGTCTTTTTTTTTTCACAACGGATTTATGGCGCCACAAAGGGAACAATGTGCTCCTCTACCCTGCACTACCCCGTTTCTTTTGGATTATACAGTCAGAGTAGCTCGTGACCAGAATGGAACAGAAATGATTCAGTTTGCTTCTTATTTGTCGGCTCGTGCAACAAGTTGTTAAATAAGAGTGCACATTTATAATTAGTTTGACGTGTTAACTTCTGTGTAAAAATAAGTCGGTCTGCGTTGCACACTCTAATCACTTCATGAAACAAAGCATACAGTATTATATTAAGAGCTAAGCTGCCCACAGCAGCCTACACTGCTCTTTTTTTTACAGTGCTTTATTATTAACTTTCTATTATTAGCATTTTATTTAGAATTCGGAAAAAAATCCACACCAAAACTGTCTAAGATGATTAAGCCGATTCTATAGTAACACTTAACAGTTAAAGACTCAAGATTTTCATCGGCCTAAGGTTCTGATTTACCACGCTTCTGCATAATAGTGTGACAACACGTCAGAGCGAGAGAAGACCACAAGTTGCTGAGATGTGGCCACCGACATTAGCATCACGGTTGTTGTCTGCAAGTTCTGCAAAGCATGTTAGCAGCTTAACTGCGAGACAAAGTGGCCTATTCTTCTCGTTTGCATAGCAAATGGGGGCAGTCTTGTTAATGTATCCTGGTAGGACCATCGTGGAATGCCTGTAGCATTCAAGTAAAAAAAAAAAATACAAATCAGTGTTTGTCATTCTGCGCTCACCCTGCGTCCTCTGTCAGTACAGCAGGACGCTTTGTGCTCCTTTCTGCCTGCTTTCTGACTCTTTCGGGGTTATGTTGCTGATGCCCTCTGGCCTGTTGAGGGCTGAAAAAGAGCAGCAAAACAACAGGCCGCCTTGTTTGCTGTGGATACAGATGCTGTTAGTTAGAAGTTGATGTGGCATTTCCAAACAGTGTACGTTGGGAGGAGTAAAATTAGACTCAGTAAGTGAAAGTCCCGTCATGATGAACATCACAGAGCCCGCGCAGCATACGTTGGAGCAAGAAGAATAAATACACGACACCACTTTACTAAGGCTTCTCATACAGTTTTTATACAGTGACCTCCCAGAAGCTTCCTCTGTGCATGTTTTCCCACTCAGGCACAATTGAGATGATTCTTGTTCAGCTTAAAAAAATGAAAATTCGTAAGACTCAACATTATTTCACTGTAACAAAAGCCGTATTGACAAGGCCTGAGGTCTTTCTGGCCCTCGAGGGGCTCCAATGAAGTCACTTGGAGCTGTGAGATCATCTAATTATGCGTGATAATTTAGGAAATCCCTGAGGACAAAACAAACTTGAAAAAGCTCAAATGCTCATTTCAGTTTGAAAAATTAAATTCATTAATAAAAAAACAGTTGACATGGCTAACGTTTACTAATTTTGTTGTGTGCATGCTTTTGAATAATGTGAACACACAGAGAAGAATTAGATGCACAGTCTATATTTACCAGATCTCATTGGGGGAAAAAACATACCTCACAACCTAAAACCTAGCCTTATTCCATCTGTCATTGTTCCTGTACATTGAACATTTGAATAGATAGTTTAATCTGTTTAAGGATTCACTTTTTTTGTCCTGTTAACTTTTCCATTGATTTTTTAAAATCATTGTCTCTTACCACTTTGTGTGCAGTGATCTAACTGTTGTGAGGAGGCACTAAGCCTTTTAAAGGCTGTGGCCCAACCATTCCCTGTTCTGAAAACAGATTCATGCAGTTGTGCTTCTTCCATAGTGTGTCCTGTGCAGATCATGGCCTTAATGCCCTCTTTGTTTCTATTCTAGGCCGCAGCCAGTTTGCATGATTGAAGGGGAGTTGTATGGGGCTCCTACAGTAATCCCTTGTACTGCTTCCCCCCCCCCCCTTTTTTGTTTCTATTTTTAAACAGTGCCTGCTATCATTTCCAAGGAAATCTAAGAAAAAAAGAAACAAACAGACAGACAGACAGACAGACAGAGTTCATGCATCTTTGTGTCTGTCTACAACAAAACTCTCTCTGTAAATGTGGGCTTAGAGCAGACGCGTCTAAACGAGGAGTCTGGAACCCCTAAAGGGTCCCAGATAAAGAATTGCGGTCATTCACAGAACGGAAAAAAAATGGCGAAATGTATGTCGGTCAATGATTCTATTACTTCTGAAAATGTTTAAAACCAAACCATAAACCAATTTTAAAAGATTAAATAAAATAGATGTGTTCCATTTGTCATAGTTAACTGGAAAAAGTCAAAGCTCATCACAGTCATGCAGACTATGATGAGACAAAATGCATCAATTTACAAAGAAGGGAAATAATGAGGATCAGAAATAACATTAGCTTATCACTATCCAGGACCACAAGCCACGAGTAATGTTCAAACTATGCACATTTCTGATTTTATAAATAGAACTACTGTTTAAGATAAGATAAAACAATCCTTTACTCGTCCCTCAAAGGGGAAATTTGAGTGTTACCGCAGGTACAGAAGATAAAGAAAGAAAAAGCAGGCAATGGATTATAACTCCTATAATACAGTAACTCCTCTAATACAGCAATAATACATAAGTAATTAATACCTTTTGTATGTATTGATAACAGCTACACATCAGCAGCTGATATTTTCATATCTTAGGATGTGACATGAAAAAAAACCGGTGCATTTCTAAAGAAACAGTCAACTCTAGTTTTCTATTCTTTTCCAGCTGCTTTAGGAAAAATTATAACTCCCATTCAGGGAGAACGGTGCACATTCAGTGGAAGCACCTGAACTGTCTCAGCTTTCACAAAATCGCTCTATAAATTTATATATACACATACATTCCTGTAAAAATGGATTATATAGTAGACGTCATTTCAAATGAAAATAGCACAAGATGAAAGTGTGCTGACATACTGTATGTGTAACCAAAAAAAAGAGTTTTATAAAAAGCTAATATTCACAATTTACTCATGTACGGCATATGGATCAGATTTTCTAAATAATCAGTCTCTTGTCACCGTCAGCTTGTCAGAGCTTCAAAATGAAATAAACATTTCCTACCTGGTTCTTTAAGTATGAGCCTGGAAAAAACATCTGAGGAAGTGACAAGTTGCTATTGATTATCGGATAACAAAATAAATTATTTTCATCAAATTACAGTTGTATGAAGCACAGAGATGAGAACAAAGGATTCTATTAGCGAGCAGCAGTAATGAGTCACATTCTTTAGCTCAAAGCGTGTTACTGCTCTTCTTAATGAGTCATTGACACACTGTGAATTGCCACTCCATCAGTGTTTTCAGCTTTGCAACTTGTGATGAGAATTTACAGCCTACCTGCAGGATATGCATTGTGTTAATGGGCTCACATGAGCATCCCCTGCAGAACTGGGATCCTGGATATGTTCGTGGAGCAGGGACTCAGAGAGTTTCTGTTCTGACATTTGTAAAGGATCAATGATTCTGATGTCTTGACCTAATTGACTTATTCTTATTTTATACAACAGCTTTGCCTTTAATTCATCGCGGATTGGGTTTATTAGGCTAATTTTTCATTATTCTATCACATGTTTGTAAATGTCTTTTTTTTACTCAGCTATTCTCTGAACAGAAGTGTTTTGTACAATGTGAACCTTCACAGGCAGTTTCAAACATCAGTACAATTGCAGTTGGTCATGTTTTAAGTGTAAAATAGTAAAAGTTAGAACTTTGTGTTGAAAGAAACTATTGTTTTAACCATAATACCATATATGTCATATTTGATACATATGTTTTTTAAAATCTTTTGCATCTGAGACATCTGTTGTATAGATCTGTTGTATACAATCAGATGTACCTGATAACAATAGGCAGACGACTATAAGACATTTTGACTTATTGCAAGGTAATAAATCATAAATATAATCTTAATATTATCTTCCATATTTTGTCAAAGGGCCAAAAAAGTCTTCGGACTAAATAATGAGATCTCAATTCTTTTTTAATCAGGCTTTAAAGTGGCTAAATAAGAATCAAATGCAAATTTTACATACAAATACGAGCTCTGTATTTGTAGAATGAGAAGAAAATGCATTCTCATCAGTAGAACCAGTCAGTCCTGTCTTCTGTCTATTAAACAACCTCATGGTTTCTGTTGTCTTAAGTTGATTTACAGAATCGAGGTACAGGAAAAGTCAGCGGGAGCTAAATGGATTCAATTGGATTGAATTTGAAAAAAATCAGCTCAGTTGCATTTCTATAGCACACCAACAACAAATGTAAGGCACTTCAAAGATGCAGTGAAATTCATACAGATGTACAAACCAACTTATACTGTTATAATAATACATTCCAATGATTTAAATCACAAATGAGTCCATTTTGGTTAGAGTGAGTTAAAAAAATGCCTTGCTAAGGAAACAACCAGAATACAGTGAAACCTCTCTTTGATTCATTCTCCCAATAAGAGTTCAAAGAGTGCTCAGAGTTCAGAGTCTGTGACCTCAGTATAATTCATGAGAACGATCCTTTGGGCTTCTTTGCAACTAATGTTGCCATTTTGAAAAAATCGAGCAGCCTATGTTGCTATTCATTGGTTTTCGAGACACATGTTACATGCCAATTAAAAATGTAATCTCGGGACACGAGGAGACGCAAGCTGCCGACCAACACAGATGAAACGGGCTTCGTTTTTTGTGTTCCGCTGAACTGGGAACACACGCCAGGCATGCACATGGGTTTAAAAAAATGGACGGGGCAGAGCAACGGCCCCAGGCGAGTCTCCGTTAAAAGAGGTGGCCCTTCCAAACAAAGACTCCAACTGTTGGCGCCACATCCTGACATCAAGTGATACACCATAAAAGAGTAAATACAGATTTTACATAAAACAACACAAACGTAAAAAGGCTCATTGTGCTCCCTGATATTACTTGACATGCATAGCTAATTGCTTTTCTTGCCTTTTAAAAGATGAGCTGGCTGTGTCTCTCCTCATATCAGCAGGCTTAGTCCTCTGGAGCCTCAGAGGAGGAAGCAGCCACAGCTCCTCTTAGCCCAGACAGAAGTTGAACACAGATCTGTTTTTATTTCTTATTTTTTTAATCTCTGAAATCTAAAACAGGAAATGATGCTTGAGATGCTTGGATACCAACCTTATGAGGTACGTCTAAAATCCATATGCTTAAGAGAAATGCAGCCTGCTCGGGCTCGGGTCTTGTTTATTGGCACGAGATCATACCTGATGTGTCTCATTAGATGCCATGTGTACCGACATTTTCTGATGACCTTCTATGTCGCTGTTTTGTGAGCCTGAAAATTCTTAAATATAACTTTTAGATATAGACCACTAAATGTGAGCTGTAATACAGCGGCTCTGCTCCATTTAACGTGTGTTACAGGCTGACAAACAGGCTGTGAAGGGTTTTTATCTCCCTGCAGAAGCATTTCTGGATCAGCTACCATATATTGGCAGCACAGAGATAAATAATAACTCTTTAGGGTCTCAAAAGAAAAAAAAAGCACATGTCACTGTAGAATTCTTTGGTCCGTGTTCAGTCTATTTTAGGATTGTAGTTGTTTGTGTTCAACATACAGGGCTGGGCAGACTGAGCTATATTTAAAGTTGACGAAAGACAACCGTGACACAACATATCAATGAGAAAAAGCCATGATGGGAGATTAATTTTTATAGCTTTATGTATTTTTATAGCTTTTGAATAGTTCAACTAAGTTGGTTTTCCCCTGAGCAAGGAGCCACTCTGTCGAGAATTTTTCAGCCATCAACATTTATTTAAAAATGTTGTCTTCCTCTCTTTCTTTTCTCTTTGCTTTGTCATCATAGGTTCAAACTCACTTGGAGAACCCAACCAAGTACCACATCCAGCGCTCGCAGCAGCAGCAGGTGAAGCGGTACCTGGGCAAGCTTGGCTCTCAGGCATTGAGCTTGCCCTGCCCCAACCAGTCCTCTGACCACGGGGGCATGCCGCCAGGGCCGGGCAACAGCGCCCCCAACAGCCCTATGGCCTTACTGACCCTCAACTCTAACTGCGAGAAAGAGGTGAGGTCTCATTCCAGCCTTCTCTGCTTTCACGTTTTCCGATTTTGATCTCGCCTCATTACATTTGTTCGTATGATGTCTTAGATGGATGATGTCATAGATGACATTATTAGTCTGGAGTCCAGTTACAGTGATGATATCCTCGGCCTCATGGACCCGGGACTTCAGATGGCAAACACGGTATGTGTGTGCATTCGTGGTCCCCTGAATAAAGGCGACAGCGTTCTCTTTGAAACTTCATTATCGGCTAAATCTGAAGTGTCCCCGTACTGTGATGCCTGGTGATGTGACTCCCTGGCAGGTTTGATCTTTGCTCAGCAGCGTCTCTTGCTGTGTCCTTTCAGATCCCCGTGCCTGCTAACCTCATGGACATGTACGGTAATCAGGGCATGACCCAGCAAGGCTTGCCCATCAGCAACTCCTGCCCAGCAAACCTGCCCAACATCAAAAGGGAATACTCAGGTGAGGAGCACAGCAGACATACCATTTTTTTTTAAAGCATGGCTTTTATTCCTTTCATGTGAAAATGAACAATAATGCCTGTTTGGACTACTTGCAAAGCATCAGTTTTAAATTTGTAACCATTCTTTGAAGTCCTACTCTCCAGGCCTTTGTACAGCTAAAAATATATTCTTGTCTCTGTAGTTGAGTGCTAACTTCACTTGTTTTTTTTGCACTGGTTCTTTTTATTCTGTTGACTAAAAAAGAGGAACATTATTTATCATGTAGTGTCACAATCTCCATCCATCATGCATATGCTGGATAAGTCGGGATCCTGTGGCAAATTTGACACCTATCAAAGGCCTGAAGGGTTCCCTGTGGGTACGTTGGAACATTTAGTTTCAAAATACACTGTACAGCTGATGATCTGTTTGTTCTTTTTTTTGCTCTGTAACGTATGTACTTACTGCACTAGTGACTTTGTTAATCAATGGAAGCCTTTCTTCCAGAAGCAGAGGTAAGAGCTATGGCTAAGGAGAGGCAGAAGAAAGACAACCACAATCTGAGTGAGTATTAAAGGCGTTAAATACAAGGCCTTAAACATTGTTTGTTAATGTGAACGCTAGACTTGGATGTGGTCATTGTCACTGTGTTGTTTTCTTTTTGCTACGTCATAAAAGTCAGATACAAACGTACAAATTCCTGTGCATAAAACTATTTTGGGTGATAACTATTGATTATCTTTATCTTACTCTCTTGCACTCTCTTCTGCAGTTGAGAGACGACGGCGGTTTAACATCAACGATCGAATCAAGGAATTGGGAACCTTGATTCCAAAGTCTAATGACCCGTAAGTCACCAGTTGAAAATCAACCATTTTATACTTTAAAAGTTGCCCTTTTATGTGCAAAATGAAGAAAATGTGTCTCCCTGTCAGCTTAACGAGTCGTCAATCATGGCAAATCACGAGTGATAGGATTTAATGGCCTAACTAACTAATCAACATAGATTGTAATGACATCTCATCTTTGACCAGTGAACATGACAGTAGAAAATCCAGATTCCTGTTCTAACATTCTAAATTTCTGCTGGAGCAGTCAGCATCTTCCATGACTAGTATCCCCAAAGTTCCCTCTCTGTGTTGCTCTGTCTCTGCAATCCAGGAAAACAATGTAAGAGGAAACACGTGACAGCCATTTAGTCTCAAAAACGTGGTGACATTTGAAGCTACTCATCCGGTTTGTGTAACACCGAGTCATTGTATTAGCTCCAGCTGAGCTGTAGAATACATACTTGGTGATTTGACCCCAAATATCTTGCTCGGAGAACACATGTGACTTTTAATGAGTTAACGACTTTAGTTACACAGATATCTCGGTTGCACCTAAAAAATTGAATCAGTCATTGTATGATTGAAGTAACCCATTGTGATATTGGTCCAAGCTGCAAATATTTGATATGAGTTTATAAATGTATGTCAAGTTCTTATAATTCTGCGGTTTTGCTTGCTGCTTGGCTGTGCATCATCTTTTGTGTCAGTCTACGCTGTGTTTGCTCTGCTAAGCCAGCTCAGACTCAGACTGCCTTTAACAAACAAAGCTGTCTTCGTTTTCAACACGTCACTTAAAGCTTAACATACAGTCGCTATAAAATATTTACACCACCTACTTGATAGTTACCTTGAGTTTAAATGCATTATGCACTCAAAAGTGCTGATATTTCAGTGTCTGACCTGAAGAACTCTGCTCACTTCTGACCTGAAACCGTAACACTTCTGAGCAGAGAAGTTAGATTTATACCAGGAATCTTTCCTATATTTATGCCAAACCTGCCAAAATTCCTCTTAAACATTCAAAGTATGAATAAAGGCGCTGTTGTCATTTTCAGAGACATGCGCTGGAATAAAGGCACCATCTTGAAGGCGTCGGTTGACTACATCCGGAAACTTCAGCGGGAGCAGCAGAGGGCCAAAGAGCTGGAAAGCCGTCAGAGGAAACTGGAGCATGCCAACCGACATCTGATGCTGAGAATACAGGTAGAGACTGCAATGACCACAAGTGGAAGTGTTGGTTTTTTCGCTGGTGAAAGTCGCGGGTGAAAGGATCAGGACAGTGAAAGAGGCAGGACATCGTTATTTGAACTTTACTTATAGCTGACTGCGGCCGAAGGCTCACTGCTGCAGCTGTGGCTAATTCAATTTTCATTATGTAGGGCATGGAGCTCGTGCCTGTCTGTGGGGGGGTGGGGGGCTTAGAACAGACTTCTCAGAGACCGGCAGGAGGAGGGTTGTTGGTTCACTAATGGGGTCTTTGGGAGAAAAATACTCCTCTGAGAATCAACAAGAAGGAAATGCGAAGGTGAACATCTCATTCCAGTCAGTTTAAGGATTATAATTTTGTTTGGAAGGCATAGCATGAACATACTATATACCACTATGCTATATAGTAAGCGGCATATTTGTGTGTTTGTGTGTGTTTTGTAGGAGTTGGAGATGCAGGCGCGGGCCCACGGCCTGTCCATCACATCGACAGCTCTCTGCGCCGCTGAACTCGGGGCACGGACCATCAAACAAGAGCCATCTCTGGAGGACTGTCGCCAAGACCTGTACACGCTCCACCCCCACCACCAGCACCACCCGGCCTGCACCCCAGAGCAGCCCGGCACGCTGGAGCTGAGCGACGGCCACGCCAACTTCCCAGAGGGCCACTACAGCGCCCACAGCAAAGCGGGCTCCAAACTCAACGACATCCTCATGGATGACACCCTATCCCCGGTGAGAGGGGTGGACCCTTTGCTCTCGTCTGTCTCCCCAGACACCTCGAAGGACAGCAGCCGTAAGAGCAGCATAAGCATGGATGAGAACGAGCAGGGCTGTTAGCGCCTCCTGGTGGAGGACACCTAACCCCTTCCGCCAAGCTCCACACACAGCAGGAGACTCGTTCTCCTTTTTGTTGTGTTTTTGTTTTCTGTCTCCCCCCCACCCGTGTTTAAATGTGTAATTTCTTTGCCTTTTTTTTTTAATTTTTTACGTCTTTTTAAGCCCTCAACCTTGATTTCAAGGATTGATTTTAAAGCGGTTGGTTTAATCAGTACTTTGGTGACAATGAGTAACGGAGAATAGAAGTTTTTATATTTAAAAAAAAAAAAGCATTTATCTTTGGTTAGAGACTAGGTTATATGTTTTTCTACTGATTCCAAAGAATCTAGGGAAATGATAAATCATGGTCAGAAATGTAGAGATGTGAAATGTGAGATGAACACTGCTTTTGAAATCACTAGCAATAATAGAAGACAAAATATTTATTACTTTAGTGCTTTACACTCTTTGTGTCTTAGATTGAACTTGAATGTGCCAATGCCTTATTGAGATGTTCATACATTGTTGTTGTACTCCTATGCACATGTTTTGGCTGTTAGCTGAGTCAGTCTTCCGGTTGAAATTTCTCGCTTGAATGATGTTGAATCATTTGTAGATTTGATCTTATTTATGTGTTTATGTATACAGGACTTTATGTACACATTCCCCTTTAGATTTTAATTTATAACTAAGCTATCAAATTGACTTAAAATAATAACTAAAAAAATCTTTAAGCACAACCTCCCTTTGTATATAAAAAAGCACAAATTTGTCATTGATAAAGATATCTTTTTTTTTTGTCCTTATGAAAAATAATCCAAGCAAAAGACAGAGGTCAAGTTTCACAATACATGCTTGACTTTACATCCTAACTGGTCTGACAGTGTTAAACAGATACATTCCTCACAAAACCTCCCAAATAAAAAAAAATAAGAAAAGGCCAAATGAAGATGAGGTAACTAATTCATTTGATGGATCTGGATGTCGGTACGTGATTTTTTTTCCCCCTGTGGTGATCAAACAGACGAGTAGCAAAGCTTCAGCAAACGCAGAAACACGGCACAGGTGATGCTCACAATTTCTAGTCCTTTCCACTGATTTACCTAAATTATTATTTTTATACCACTTCAGTGACGTTACACTTTCAGGGTTTTTTCTTCGTTTTTTTTTTCCATGATGTGAAATGTATAATGCCAAGGAGTATAAGGAGACCGTTTTTTGGATTTTGTATGAAACGCATGACATTGTCAAAACACTGGAACGACCTCTGTACACTTATTTGTGGGTTTTAAGCCTTTTTCTGTCATGAACGCATGAACTAACTGTTCGGCTGCTGTAGATTTTTGCAGTGTGTTTACAACAGTTGCAGCATGCTCGGACACAACAGCCTCGCCATCCACTGAAAGCCCTGCCGCAGCACAGCCTCCGTTTAGTCAAACTATGCAACAGTTAAAGTTGTGCCTGTGAAGCAGCATCGTGTCTTTTTTTATGGAGTAGTTTGAGATGGTGTAAATGTCATTACCTTTTCATTTAAGTGCCTTACTGTTGCTTCTTTTATCCCGCTGGTGTATGAGGAGTGATGCAGTATTTTGTGTATGTTAATACTGGTGTTTGGTGCTTCATAGATTTTCAATGCCGAGGTGCCCAAATCCATTAGAGAGCAGGTTAGGACTATCTGCCATACGAGATAACACTACAAGTCTCTACAAGTAGCATACATATCCATACATATATCTGTGTATACGTGTGTGTATATATATGTATATATTTATATGTATGTAAATGTGTATGTAGTGTATCCCCAAAGTGTTCATTATTAAATGGGTTAGAACAATTCCTATATAAAATATGTCAGATTGTATGGACAAGCACACAAATCTGGCAATGATTTAACTTACTTTCCTTGGAGCAGCTTTATTTGTTAGTTTTTTCTAGTTACTGGACATTTCCTAACAACTCTTCAATGGCATCTATTCCAGTCACTAACTCGTCCACAAGCCTAGGGTCTTTAACAACAGCTTAGAAAGGTGGCTGGTTAGCATTTACTAGCTTAATTGACAGTGCCAAAGTACTAACAAGCCAAACGATTAACTGCTACAGGGGCTACTCGGCCGGCCAGTGATGAGTAGAAGTGTTAAAAAAAACGTGTTATCGGTGGAAATTCTGTTCTAGGTGGCCCCATTAACATGTTGCTGTTTAAGTCCCACCCTCATTTTGGCATTTATTTGCTAACTATTGCTGAGAGTCCTTTTGGTCTTGAGTTTGCATGTTCCCTGCATGCATAAATTGTCTCTTTCTGGGTAGGTCTACTCCAGTTTCCTACCGCCATCCAAACACATGCGTGTAAGGGTAATTAAAGACTCTAAATTCCCCGAGGACTGAATGTAAGTGTGCAGTTGTTTGTCTCTGTGTGGCCTTGTGATGAGCTGTTGACCTGTGCAGGGCGTACCCCAGCTCTCGCCTAATGACTGCAATGATTGGATAGGCTCCACCACCCCGCGACCCTTTAATAATATGCATAGGCAATAGATGGATAGATGGACGAATATAAATCTTGATATGCCAGACATGAACGCTCCCCTCATCGTACTATTATTTTACCTTTTGACCAAAAAACAAATTTTCAATTAACCTGAGTTATAGTGTCCCTTTGACTGCAAATCAGCACTTAAACATGTTTTAAACATAAGAAATTAGCCTAAAGTATCATTGTCCCAGAGTGCAGCCTGTCTAAGCCTACAGCCTATAATCCTGTCTGACTCATTTTATCTACATTTATATCTATTTAGTACTGAACACTTTGGATTTCCATATCTTGTAGCTGTGGACTTTGTGTTTTCTCTTCCCAGAGTTACACCAACTGATTTTTTTCTATCCTCATGAGACTAGTTGTTTGCAGTTATATGCCAAACCTAAGGCAGCACATTTATATAAACCCATTCTTTGCATTTTAAATGAGTAGTTTGCGGCAAAGAAAACCACAACAAAAAAAGCATAGCAAGGTTCCATGACAGCTTTTGTCAACCTTTCACCTGCACCTCATGGCGATAGCAGTCAGTTGAGCGGACTCCATCCCCTGCTTCTGACTGTGATGCTGCTGACAGCCCGCCAAAACGCTGGGAAGTGAACCCCGGATATACACAAGTTTGACTGAACCCTGAAATGTGACAGGAATGGGTATTAGTGTTACACGCTCTCACAATATTTAAAAGCCATCACTTTTGCTTTTTGTCATGGGACACTTTGGGTAAACCACTAATGAAAATCACGACAGCACAGATTTTTACCTCCCCGCCCAACTCTCATTCCTGTGGTCCTCTCAACGAAACGCTACGTTGCTACTTTTGGTATAGTTCCAGTTTTTATGACATGAATGTAGCAATAGTCATTGTGCTGACTGGTTTCCAATTAGTGAATTCAATGATACTTAAAGTCTGAACTATCTCTTTAAAGATATTAAAGTTTTATTTGAATACTGTCAGAAATGTGTGTTTTTATTGTCCAAAAAGCAGAGGTGTTCAGTAACGAATTAGAACTACTTAAGTACTGCACTTAAGTACCAAAATGCAGTATCTGTACTTTATTGGAGTAGATATTTTTTCCCCTACTTTTACTTTTACTCCACTACATATTTTTGATTATTTCAATACTTCTACTCCGATTTTTCATTTCATTTTTTTCGATTTTTCACGGGCTGAATCGTTACTCGTTACTGAAATGTAAACATAATGATAGATAGCTCTGTCAGGGTTTGGGAAGCTGGCTCCTCATTGGCGATTTGAACGATCAAGCATAGCCTATAAAAAAGCCTCCCGGAAAATTGTTAATTATCGGCTCCAAAAATTCCCCATCTAATCTGAAGCAGCATATCAAGGTAAGTTAAAAAATACAATGACATATAAGCTAGTAAATAAACGCTAGTTCAGTTCTCCCTGTTCATTCTGGACGTACCAGCTAAGGTTAGCTAAAGCTAACCTAGCTGGCCAACTGTATGCTACATGCTAGCATAAAGGCTTAGCTCAGGATTCTGACTCTGGAATAATAAATAATAGTAGATGAAGTGCTGTTGATGCTAACGCAGATGTAGTTTTCTGTTTTTTTGTAAACACCTGTATGGCCTTTCACACGTTTGAAATAATATAAACAATATGTATTACATTTTTGACTGCCTTTTTTTAATATACACAGTACTTGTACTTTTACTTATACTTGTATTTTCAACACTTGAGTAGCAATTTTTTAAATACTTCTACTTGCAATACTTAAGTACAAAAAAAATTGAGTACTTCGGTACTTCCACTTAAGTATGGTGTTGAAAGAATACTTCTACTTTTACTCAAGTAAATTTTTTTACATAGTACTTGTACTTCTACTCCACTCCTCTACTCCAGTACTTTAAACATCTCTGCCAAAAAGCAATGCATTTCGAATACTGTGAGTCATCAATCTGTCAGAGGAGGAGTTCATACAGCATGGAGGATGATATGTCATTCAAATGGGTTTTTTTCTGTTTCGTCGTCATTTGGTCCCTGAAGACGAAAGCTCATCAGTCCATTTCTGGTAAGCTTGGCAAAGGAAACAATCCTCAATCATGTCGTGGAAAATTTCTACAAAATCGTAGAAAACACTGGTCAGCATACTTCATTTCTCATGAGTGGACACCATGCTCTTAACTGGTTGAAGTGAATTGTTCATCGGCTTTACCTGCACTTCCCAATCCCGTCGGTAGAGGCATCCTCAGAGAGCCGGCCGAGTGCTCCAGACGCTGCCCCAGAGATTTCTGGATCAGGGCCAAGGTGCAGTCCTGGTGCCAGACGGGCAGCCCCAGGCCCAACATGCACCGGACGATGCGGTCCTTCTCGTCTGCCGTCAGAAGGCCTTTCTGGTGGGCCAAATAAACCATGAAGGACATATCGATGTTGACCGCCTCCCCATGGAGCAGCTCCGGCAAAACCCTCTGTAGAGACAAAAAATGTGGGAAAGAGTTTTGCTAAACGTAAAGACCCAAACTTGTAATTCTTTTCTTTTTTTTTGGTTTGTTCCAGCCTAGTGCTTCACCATTTCTAACTCAGGGCTGATAAGGTGACCAAAATCCACCAGCCGATCCAGGTCATCCTCCCAAAGGTTAGGGGCCAGCTCCTCCAGCATGGTTTCTATAGCGATGCGGATGGATGCTGTGGAGCTGTCCTCCACTTTGGGGCCGCTGCCCGTCGTGCACGACTGCATTTTGCCGTGCAGCATGTTCCTGCCTTCAGCCTCCAGCAGCTGAAATAGACCCCGGTGCTTCATCAGGGCCATCTGAATCAAGCAGAAAAGCTGTGGTCAGTGGCAGATAAATGACACGGCTCCAGAAATGACAGACTAAATAAACATTTATATGCATTAGGATTGTCGTTTCAGATTATAACCCCTCATGGCCATGAGTAAAGGCCTGAATAATTTTATTAGAGAGAAGATCGGTCTAAAAAACTGCAACATACAAGGCTTGAAGTTTAGTTTAGTTCAGTTTAGTTTAGCAAACAGGTGCTTTTCTTTTAGAAGAGGGACCTGCCAAAACCCCTGTATTCAGATTTTTTTGTCCCAATCCCATCTGTAGCCCTTTGGCCCTCCCAGAAGTTTATCAGAAATATACCAAAAAGCAGTGGTTATACAGCCCTCCAGCTGGGGAATTGGGTGAGGGTGCATTTGGATAGTTACCCCTTTATCCCCAAAGGGAAACTATGAGGCTCTCCCACAGGAAAGATGGTGAGCATGCATCAATGAGCACCTTTAACATCTCTGCCAGCCCATTAGAGATCTGACGTATGGGCAGAGTCTGGAAGAAGGAGCGGTCTAAGAAGGTGGCCACTGGTGGGACGTAACTCCCCAGCTTGTTTTTCCCGCCGGCAAAATTGACGCCCGTTTTTGCCCCCACACTGGCATCGACGTAGGCCAGCAAAGTTGTGGGAACTCTTATGTACGGAGTCCTCCGGCGGTAGAGGGAGGCCGCCAGACCGACCACGTCCAGACAGACCCCGCCTCCGATGGCGATGATGGGCTCCGAGCGTCTGTCGATGCCAAACTCGTGAACTTCCTCCAGGATTCTGCTCACTAGCTCCATGCTCTTGTTCTCCTCTGTGGTGGGCAGAGGGAGGATCCTGTGCACGGCCTGTCTGGATTCGAAGTATTGAGCGACCCGGGAGCCGTACAGCTGATGGACGGTTTCATCCATGACCACAAAACGCTTCACAGGTGTGGAGTTACTCGAGGTCCCTCTCAGGGCCTCATCTCCTAAATGACCCCAGAGCAGAGTGTCATTTCTGGGATCCAGAATGTCGTTGCACTGAATAACTCTGTAGGTGAACACGGTGGGGCTGACCACTGTCCAGGAAACTCCATCTTCTGACTTGTTCTCATAGCTGGAAAGAAGTCACAGGAAAGGGAAATCTCAATTCAGCGTTTAGTTATCTCAATTCAGCATTTAGTTATTATGATGAGGAAAAAAAACACCTTCGCCTTTTTTTAATTATTTTATATGGTATCACTCCATTTTTTGCTGTCCTTATATTTCCAGAGGCACTTTACTTGCATGGCACTTTCTCCCTCCTGTGTGCTGCATTTCAATAAGAAAATAATCCACCCATCCATTCATTATCTATACAGCTTACTCCCAACGGGGTTGCTGCCTGCTGGGAGAAAATAATTCACTTTTTTGCTTAATACAATTTATTAGATAGCTTTGATTATTTGTTACTTTTATCACAAATCAGTCTCTGACAAAAGCCATGTGACAGCAGCACAACTTCATTTTAAATTAACCCACTTCAGTCCAGTAAAACAAAAATTAACAAAAAAGAAGAAATCTAAACAGCTACATTTTCCAACCTGTTCAAACTGTACAACAGTGTAAGACCCTTTTAAACCCTCCTGCCAGCTATGCTGTACATGCCTGTAGTGGTGTTAGTGAGGCCTAAAATAGAATGGTATTTCACCTCAGTCTGTCCATGTAACTTTATGATGTACATATGGACACGTCTGTGCTATGTACAGTGTGAATTTGAACTAGTCTCTGAGAAAAGCACACGAAAGAAACACCGATAATTCATATTAACAGAAATGGTGATGCCGTGAATGGGAATTTATTATTTATTTGCCCCACAACAGGTTCTAAAACTGGCAAGCGACTTTCTTTCATATTAAAGCAGATTGCTTTGTCCATTTTACAATATGCAGAGTTTTCTAAGGCGTAGGTCATACTTACATTTTGGCATCTGATACCTTTCCCTGCTCCACTTGGCACTGCTCAGTTTGTCTCGTCCACGTTCCGTTAACCCGGACCAGATTAAACTGGGTTGGCCGTGCAGAGCCGGAGTTGGAGTTCATGTCCGCAGCACCGCAGCCTGTCGTGTGCCTTCAGCCGCCCCTGTCATGCTTCACAGAGTGACTTACAGGATGACAGCCAGTGCTGTGAGAGCTGATCTCTCTCTATTTCACCAGACAGCCATCTTTAAAGGCCCACCCTTAGACCAGTTACAGTAACATCTCAGGTGCATATGACTACATGCAACTGTGTAAATCTGCAGCAAAAGGATAGAACAGCATCCAGTTTTTAAAAAAGGCAAAAACTTTCTCAGGTATTTCTGAGAGAGCATTGACTTTAGATTTTTTTTCTCATTTAAAATGAGAAAGACTTGGATATTCCATCATGGTCTACAGTACTTTATATCATCAACAGATTCGGACAATTTCTGAAGACATCTCTGTGGGTCCAAACAAAAAGCAGTTTTGGATGCTTGTAGCTTTTGCTTCAATAACAGACCTTAGTCCACCTTAAACCACTGCGCGGACCCAGGAAGACGCAGAGCTCCTCGTGTGATGCGTATTTACTTTGCCAACCACAACGGCAAGGAAGCATGTGAGGGACGTGTGAATCTAACCCAGGAAAAGCACAATCTTCTCTGAGGTAAAGCTCATCAACAGTAGTCTGCTGAGCGCATCACTGCCGGGCAACAAGCACATCTGGAAAAGCCCCAGAAATGCTGAAAAGCACACACAGGCTTTAGTTTAGAGCATACTGCAGTTCTGGTGCTGAGCTGACGTTCATCAAGCCCACATAGGGCAAGATTAGAATATGATTGTTCCCCAAAAAGCTAAGGGACAGCTCTGCTCAGTTTGCATGTTTACAGATTGTTGCTAAAGAGGAAACGCTCCATGCCTCAGACTCTCTCTGATCCACTTTAAATGTGCAAATCTTTTTCATATATTGATCTCTCACTTTCGTTTATAGTGCGAGCTGGGATGAGGAAACCATGGGATGATGCATCGTCTTGCGTTCGAATTATTCTGCTATGCATCTTCTGAATCTTTTTCAGGGGTCATTCCGACAGCTTCGGGCTCCCCCAAAGCAACCCTCCATCGCACGTCCTGTTTTTCCGGCCCATTGAACAGAAAACAGAAGCAATGACTCCCACAGAAAACTCCCACCTAAATGTTTATTTAATCCTACATGCAGAATAATAATTTGGAACTTCAATATGGATGAGCTGTTTCTGGGTGGCCTTCGTTTCCACTGACAGAGCATATAAGAGCTAGATGTTTGTCCAACAGACAAAAGGGCAAAATGAACAACAAAACATCAGGCGCATGGTCCCTTCAATGTCTTGGTAAGACAAAAAAAAAGTCCACAAATAGAATACTTTGTTATAGCAGTAGCTGTATCAGTCTTCATAACCCCTGATGCTACAAAAAAAGAAAAAAGGCATCAGTTCATTTTGAAGTTACACAAGAAAAACTCTCAAAGTCTCAATGAACTCTTGAACATAATCAGCTTTTAAATTCTCTTTAATGAATATTCCTACAAAAAAAACTATTTTTAATATCCGCAGCCCCTTCCAGAGCATCGCTTCCGACTTCACGGGCAAAGTCCACGTCCATCGGCCTAAAAAGGGGAATGACATTTCACAGAGAGACCTATTGGGTTACTTCAAGCTAAGGCACGAACATCGATCGGCTGGCCTGGACCAGCGCGTGTGTGTAAACTGCTCCTGTCGCCAGTACGCAGTCCCACACTGTTCAAAGTGACGCACTAAACCACAGTGGAATGTCTCCTACCCACACCTCACTCACTACTTTACATCATGAGCTCGTGACCATTGGCAGACAGGTTAGCAGGTTAAACCAAAAAAAAAAAGAAGAAAACCCAAAAATCATCCTTTCATCATGTGCACCAATGATAACGCCTTATCACCAGTAAACTAGGAAAACTAAATCAAAGACACATGCATGGTGTCACACAGATCAGGAGGAATTTAATAGTCATAGTGATGCATTGGTTTTACAATAACAATAAATCTATAGTGTTTACTCTTTCAGCGATGGTTGGGAAGGGAGGGGGCTAAAAAGGAAGAAAGTGGCTGTTGAATCGCTTGATCCGTTTACTGATTGAACCTTAAAATACAAATATATCACATCATGTTGGCAGTGAGGATTTCAATTACCGTAACAATGCGTTTTTTCATTCTCTACAAATCTTTACATGGGGTGGCCACTAAAATAAAATCAGGCCACGTGGGCCCACCCCTGGCACAGCAAAACCCGGCTGTGACGAGGGGTGGTGGTGGGGGGGGGGGATTCCATTGTGAAGTGCTAACTATCGGCGTTCCTTTTCCTTTGGCTTCTCTGCTCGTCGTGGTCCTTTTTTTTTGTTTAGACATACACGAGAGACACGACAAAACACAATCCTTTTCACAAACGATCCCGTTCGGCAACTGGACGATGCAGACCAACCAAAACCTGCACGTGCTGCCCCAAAGCTTCTGACAGAAGAAAAAAAATTAAAATCCCAGGAACAGAGTGTTTGGTTATGTGGATGAAGCTGTTGCTTTTTTTGGAATACAGAGTCAACACGGGCTGTGAGGGGGGCGTAGGGGTGGGGACCTCACAGTCAGAGAGAAGGCACACGGTCCAGATGAAGGCTGGACCTCTCCGGGCTGCTGTGGTCCTCTTCATGGTGGTTCATCTCTGGACTGTGGCCGTGCTCGTCCGTGCTCGCCGGAGACTCGTACGGATAGTTTTCGCATATCTCCTCATCCTCCTGCTCCTCTTTGATGCTGGAAAAAAGGGAGACAGGGAATTAGATCGAGTGTGCGGGCAGGGGAGCGCTGGAGGCGTGGAGGGGAGGACTCACAAAGCCTGGGGGGGGGACTGCGTGGCGCTGCTGTCGCTCTGGTACCCGGAGCCGTTGGCCAGAGCTCCGTTCATCTGCTCCTGCAGGATGTGAGGCAGGGAGTGCAGCGGGATGCTGCCCAGAGACGCCGGGTTGTACAGGGAGCCGCTGCCATCCAGGATCCCGCTCTGGCAAAAAGCAGAGAGGAGTAAATAACAGCATATTTGCTCCCATCTATAGGACAGCCCTCTAAATGAAATGAAACTACAACATGCAGAAACACAGCCGAAGTGTTTAGCTTCTCCCACCTGGAGAGCTGACCCTGCTAGGCTCTGGCGGTTCTGAGAGTTCTTCAGCAGAGATCTGTAAGAACAAAGTAATGACAGCAGTTAACCCTGATCCGAGAAACACTGAGAGAAATTTTTTATTATTATCATTTTCTTTTCTTTAGCCTGAAGGCCTAAAATATAATAACAGATTTATTTAAAATGATTTATTTATGAAAGTGAGATAAGTCAAAATGAAGTTGTGCTATTTATTTATTTATTTTTTAAAATCCTGGATCAATTAATTTACTCTGAATTGATCCATTTTAGGGTTAAACAGCTTATGAATCTGCCATCATGCTGTTGTGGTTATACCACCTAATGATGTCTTGATGTCCTTCTTAGTCCTGCACAAACAAGCCGAGTGTTGCTTCTAACAACTGCACATGTCCGGCCCCTCAAACCCGTTTACTGTAAATACTGGGCCAACTTGAGGCTCACGGCAGCAAGGTCAAGTTCTGGGCTGCCTGCCGTCTGACTGGTAGGCTTTAAGCCCCAGAGGGCACCTACCCGTTCCCGGCCGCCTTCTGAGGTCGCCGCCTGTGGAACTCGATCTCGTCCACGGTCCACACGGCTCCCTTCACGTTCTCCAGACGCACGAAGCATTTGTGCAGACTCAGGTTGTGTCTGACGGCGTTCTGCAACAGCGGAGAGAGAGACGACACACCAGTCGGTTTCTTCCCTTCACGCAGCAGCTGGATTCTCAGTTAAACGCTCGACGGCGACCCCTAACCTTCCAAGTAGCAGCATTGCGCCTGAAGTACGCAAAGTTTCTAGTGAACCAGTTGTAGATCTCGTTCAGGGTCAGCTGATTGCGAGGCGATTCGAATATTGCCTGAAAGAGACGGCGGGCGTGAGCCCCCCAATGAGAACACAGACAGACGAGTCGGGTGTTTGCGTGCGAGCCGTGCTGTACCTGTCTTATGAGAGAAGCGTAGGTGAACGGAGGCCTGACTTCTGTGCTCAGGTAGAACTCCTTATTGTCGATTATGTCTGTGGAGGGGGTGACAAACAAACAAAGAAACCAGATTTGTAAACAGCAAGAAACTCAAAAAAGGAAATATTACCATTTCTTAACCCATTTAAGACAAGAAAGTGAACCATTTGTGAGGAAGCAGCTGGCCTTTCTGAGCTCACCGGTACCTTGGCTCACAGAGCGGCTGTATCGCCTCCGCACGGGGGTTCCAGTGTACATGCTATTGGGAGTGAGGACTGAGGGGGTTTCAGAGGGTGGTGTCAGGGGCGTGGATGGTGCAGTCGCACTCTGGGAGAGGCTCATGGGGGGAGGGCCTTTGGGCAAGGTTGCCTGGGAGAAGGATACACTGGACACCAGATTTACCTGCACAAAGGGAAAGGAAAAAAAGAGAAAAGGAAAGGTGTTTAGTCAGCAAAATGCTGGCGTGGCGGAGGCAAAACAGTCTTTATCTTAATTGAAGGAGAGGGCCGGGGCGGGTTCTCACAGGCTGTGCCGCAGGTTTGGGCTCCGAGGACTTGAGGTGGGCCATCATAGCCTGCAGTCGCTCTTTGTCTTTCTTCAGCTGCGTCGGATGGAAGAGCAGAACCGAGGTTAGAGTGTTAATTATTGAAAATACACCAGGTCTGCATCCTGAAGTGTTACAGTTACAGGTTCACTTTGAACCAGCTTTTACCCCCTTCCAGCTCTTGGTTTTAAAATGAAATGTCATTTTTAAACAAGACTTGAAAATATAATATTAAAAATAAATGACAGCCTATGAATAATTGGACTAAACCAACCTCTCCAGACTCCTTACCTGCAATTCCAGCTGTTGAACCACCTGCATCTGCACACGACACTGCGCTGTGCTCTTGTCATCAAGCGTATGCTCACTGTTCAAATGTCTGCAGACAGCAGCAGAAAGACCCAACCCGTTTAGCGGCCACACCACTGTGAGGACGTCAGCAATACTTTGAGGGGGTTGAAATGGTGATAATGAAGGTGAAGTGTGGGGAGCTGCGTTTGTTCACTCACTTGATAAATGCCTGAAAGTCTCCGAAAACAATCTCGCAGCCGGGCCATTTGCACATTCCATTTCCGTACAGCGGGTGGCTATTCTGCGTTTTCTCATCGAGCCCGCTGCAAACAGAGCAGTCGGCTATGGGTGAAGCCTCTAAACGGCCACGCAGGCTGACTGAGACTAAATGTCCCCGCTGCTCGGGTTTGAAAAGTGTGCGCTACAAACCTCTCTTTCCTCTTCAGCATAGCTGAGTGACCGTTGGTTGCGGACTGTTGGCTGAAGGACTCTCTGGTTTCTCCACCGGGGGACAGGATGCTGCCGTTTTCACAGCCTGTAAGCACATTTGCAGACAAATGTCAAATCCAGGGACTCTCTATCAGACCAGGACAAATGTTTTTTAAAGGGATGTGACAATAATGAACTATTTAATAAGATGTGATATTAAAATGTCATTGGGGCTTTGGATGGTGGTCAGCTGCTGCCCGCACTTCTCTGGTGTTGGACCGAGCCTGTGAGGAGGGTGCTGGTTTGTGCTCAGGATGCCAGCGGCTGGCAGGGCCTTTGGGCTGCCCCCCTAGCTTCCCTAAGGCCTTTACAGGGCTATGGGGGCCGGCTCAGGCCTTCCCCTGTTTTCTTCTGGGTGGGGCTGTCCCTGCAGACAGCTGCCTGGGTTCCAGTCTCCACAGGGGGGCTGCTAGTTGCCTGGGTCCTCAGGCCCTTTCTGCCTGCTTCTTATCCCAGGAGGGAACAAGGTGACATCCTTATGGAGCCTAACTGGTGTCAGTCACATGCTTCATATAGAGTTTGTGTTATTCTGTGGTTTTATTTATCAGTATCCACAGACATGTTTTCATTTTCTTGCTGCTGGCGTTGTTGTTGTTGTTGTGGCGTTCTTTTCTTCACCCTTCTTCCCACAGGTGCTCCTAACAGCGTTCTGCTTGGTTTCCCCACAGAGGCTGAGGTTGTTTTCTATCAAGTCTCTCAGCAAACTAAGCAGCTGGCTGTCTAGCTTTGATTATATTTTACTGCTGTTGTTCACCACATAATGTTTTCTTTCTTTGTCGCTGTCCTATTTTCTTCTCTGCACTCCTCTTTTGACTCTCTTTGTCAGTTTCGGCATTAATATACGATTTCAACAAAGACAAATAAGTACATAGCACTCAGGCACAGAAAAGCTTCTCTCTTGGCAAGCGAACTTCTGTTTGGCAGAACACAGCAGTCAGACCATCTCCAAGCTTGCCATGATGCCGGATGGGACAGGGTAAAAGGAACAAAACGCACTAAAGCAATCTATGCATGCTCGAAAAGTAAATGCTAGAAGGCATGTCTATTCACACTCTATAACCAACCCATTTTCAATGTGCTTTGTATTGAGCTTAGTGAGAAAAAGATTAATAATATAACCCAAAAAAACAGAAAATTACTACAAAAGCATTGTTTAAATACACTTTACAGAACAGCAAAAGAGAGACAGTCTGCTTGAAATGGTTGATACGTGTAACTAAATTATAGTCAAAGGTCATTCAAAGGGGATTGGGTCACCAGCAGAGGGCAGCATAACGGCCGAAAGCCATTTTCAACTTGATATTCTATAGTGAAAAATGACGCACATCATCCTGCCTTTCAATGAAAAGACTCCAGACTCTGCCTCTCTGCGCTGGTGGGCATACAGGAATAGATCCTGGGAGAGACGCAACAAAATGTATTGCACGCTTTTCCCTGCAAACAACTTTCCATGCGCCTCGTTGCAGCTTGAGCCGGGTTTTAAAACCCCGGGGGAGCGACAAGCGGCTGAAACCGCACCAGAGCTAGTACCACCGCCCGTGAGAGGGAGAGGACGGCAGGCAGAGGAGTGCGACGGGGCTCACCCGGGGACGCGGTGGGGTTGCTGGGCAGCACGGACAGCAGGCCTTGCCTCTGCAGGTTGAGGAGATGCTGCTGCTGCACCTGGAGGAGCTGCTGCTGGATGGCAATTTGCTGGGCTGTCAGCTGGGAGAGAACAGCAGACAGTCAGTCCACCTCCCATCGATTCATTAATGATCTCACGTTGTGTAACAGGTGTGACGGGCAAAAAACACCTCAGTCTTCATAATGATCAAAGCTACATAAATCACACTCGCAGACGTGCCTCTGCCATCAAATTCAAGAAGAGCAAACTTTTTCAGACAGAATTCGAAAATGTAGCTTTTAAAATCTGATTTGCTCTCTTATGAAGGGTTAAGTGACATTTCCCAAAGCATTCCAAACTTTTTTTGGAATCTACATGCTGGTGGGGACGAGCAGAGAAAGGCTAAGTCATAAAAAGCTCACCTCTTGACTAACGACGCCGGCAGTCTTGTGCTGCAGCAGCTGCATGTTGAGCTGCTCCTGCTGATTCTTGAAGACCTCCTGAATTTGTTGCTGCGGACAGAACACAAAAAAAGTTGGAGCTGAGCAAACGATGGGAGCGTATTCGGGGTGGATTCCAGAGAGAGGGAAAGGCCGACGGGCCTTACCTGGTGTAGCATGAGTGCCTTCTGCTGCTGGAGGAGGGCCTGGAGCTGCTGGGGACTGAGGACCTGCTGCTGAAGCTGCTGCAGCTGCTTTGGAGCCTCTGCTGGTGGGGTCATCATGGATAAGGACACCGGAATCTTTATAACAAAGGGAAAAAAAGGGACCAATTTCGATTCACCCTACAGACATGAAAGAATACAACTCTAAAAGTTGTGACCCTTTAAATGTGTACCGCACAGGGCTGTTCTAGATGTAAAGACCTCTTTTTTTGTTGCTTGTTTAAGATCTAATCTATGAGGAATGTATTTTTGTACCAGTGGATTAGCTCATGCAAACAAAGCATTATCTTTCATATGTTATCTCTTGCTACTTTTCAACCATGTTCTTCCTCAATAATAGACTGCACCCATATGCATTTTTCCTCCTTTTTTCTAGGTGGGCTCCTCCAAAGATTGTGCACAGACAGGATTCTCACTACAACAGCAGCGCGGCTGGCTACAAGGTTACCACATTTAACAGCACTGCCTTTATAAAACCTTTGATGTGTGTTCTGCTGATCCACACATTTACATCTGAACATTTAAATGTGAAGTTTATTATCGCCACACTTTAGATAAGAGGTCATAAACACTCTATATTCTGCCTATATTCTGGAAGAGGATGGATTGCTCCATAAGTACAACCTCAAATGTTTTTAGCACGACTGAAGAGTAATTCATATCCAAAGAAACTACGTTATATGAGCGCACTTCATCGCATCTGTGGATTTTCCCTTAATCTTTCACATAAACTCAATCATGTAAATTAGGTGAGTAAACTGTTGAAACAGCTGCAATGATAAGAACTCGGAATGAAGCCTGATACAGAAAAAACGGTTGGAGCGGACAGCCTCATTATCCACTCTGTTTAGGCCTCTGTTAGCCGTCCGAGTAAAACGGGAGCTCTTCCTCCTCATGTCCTGCTCAGAGGGACTGATTTACAGTGGACACATTTTGATTGCACAGTGTTTCATGTTGTTTTCTTTGTAGAAAATGTAAGTAAACTGTGGGGAATTCACCAATGTCAAAGCAATAGTTCCCCACAGCCCCAACACTGCTTGTTTTTGCTAGAAAATGAACGCTAACTCAGTTTGCAATCATTTAAAAATAAAAAGGAAATCTAATCGTTGATTTAAAATGAAAAAATAAAACAAAATAAACATGAGAATGCCTATTTTAAACAAATCAACCACTGTTAATCTACTGTTCAATGGGGAAAGTACTTCTGCACAGTCCTGTTACAGTTCACTTTTTTAACACCCCCCCCCTCAAAAAAGAAAAAACACTTTGTGGCAACTGGCAGTGCTGATCACTTGTTATTTTCATGTTGGTGTCAGGTCTGGCGAGCTGAACTGACTCAACCGCCATTTCAGCTAAGAAAAGCAGCAGTCAGGCAACAACAACAACAACATCAGATGGCTTAGGGGAATTCTAGCTCCATCAAAACAACAACAACCAGTGCCACAAAAACAACAACAACAACATCTTCTGGTATAGAAGCAGCAATTACCCCCCCCCCCCCCCACCCCCCCCCCCCCCCCCCGTCTCCCTCTGTCAGCCTCACTCGGGGATCAGCCTCTCTCAGCTCGGGGGATGTTTACGGTAAACATAAACAGAAGAATCAAAATGGCACAGAGATATAAATAATAAATAAAAAAAAGCATACAGAGCGTGTTTACGAAAACAGAACTGGAGATTCGTATTTTAATTAAGTTCTGAACCACAAACAAACATTTCTCTCAGAGGCAGAGTCTGTTTTGAATTGGGTAAACAAACTGACACAGAATTTCACACAGGGCTGGGGCAAACAATAACAGTCGACTACCTCCTAGTTTGTCCTTTCTTATGAAACAGCAGAGTGGCCATCAAAGCTATGAAAACAGGTCTATCCCACAGACAGAGCCAGCTGGCCCCCCTCTATTTTTCTGTGGACACCATCAACACAACAACAGCCTTTGCCTAATCCCTGTTGCCATGGCAGCCAGCAAGTCCAAACATCTTCTGTTGTTGTTATTGTTGAAAGTCAAACCAGCGAGCAACTGAGTGTAAACACAGATCTGGTCCCGCAAGACTGGTCTTGTGAACTTTTGTGAGAGATGACTGACGGCGCACAGAAACGAGCACAAAATGAGGAGGACAAACACAAAGCTGGCTTTACAAGAAGGGAGACAATGTGCCGGGATAAATGCACCACAGCACACCAGTGATGCTAAGTTTAGTCAAATGGAGTCCAAAAATGTGAAATGACACGTCCACAGAGATGTGACGCCTTCAGAGCAAATTGCTTTAAAAGCCAGCGGTTAACTGGCTTTTAAAAGGCTATTTAAAAGAAATAAAGACACGTCGGACAGACCTGAGAGTTTCCGCTGAAGCGTTTCCCCGGCAGGTGAAAAAGATGGAATCCTGTTCAGCTACAATGCAGACCTCACCAAACCCACATGATGGGAGCATAAACAAAACTAACAATATAGCACAGGCTGATCCCTCCACACGGCAGGAGTGGAGCTTTCCCCTCCCCTTCAGAAACCTCCATACCACACCCCCCCATACCCCTCTTCCCCTTTAGCACAAATAGGAGGGCTCGTGGTGAGGAGACGCAGAGGGCAACTGGGATACCTTTAGCTGCTGAGATAAAACAATGTAGCATAAATTGTCCTGTAGCAGCGCTTTGTGTGCTTTGTGTACCACATCACTGTCCTTCAGATACTGGATGCTTACAAGCAAATATGTGGTATTTGGATCCTTGACTAGCAATGGTAGAAATTTGAATGGAGCCCGGCTCCAAAAAGAAAGAAAAGCAAAGGGTTCTATGTTTTAAAAAAAAAGTATAATTCTGATAAGCAGGAAAATGAAATAAAATCTCAGCTGAGAGTGACTGACCCGGGGCACCTCTGGAGGAGGAGTCTGGCCGCTCTTCAGTCCACTCTCATTCTCGGCGGGGTTTCTGCTCTCTGCCTGACTCGCTTGAATGGTGTGGCCTGCTGGTTCTGACCGGGACTCGTGCATCTGGACTTCAGTGACCTGCAGAACGGCTGTAAATGACGGCGGAGCAAAATGACATAATTCAGAGAACAGGGTAGCAAATCACCACCGCCTAGGTTCTATTTACCTCACACAGTGATAAGAAGTCTGCTCTTTGGTAGGAATTTCACTGCATTCAACAATCTCTTATGTAAAAAGCTTGTAAAAACGCTGCAGTACTAAAAGTTCGAGACTTCATTGTCGCGGCCCTACCCACTAATACAAACACACTCTTCTACTGGTGAGAGATGAAGATGTTAAGTCTATTTGTTGAATAACCTAGTGCTGCCATGACTACTGTAAACACAGGGGCCCTGGGTCCGTGTTTATGTGCAAACATATCTTCCTTCTGGAACAATTTACCATTAACCAGGTGGTGCGATAAACGGTGGTGGCAGGTAGTACAATGCACAAGTAGGCTTTTATGTATACAGCTTGGGAGTGTTTGAGTAAAAAGCTCAGCCGCATAAACATAGGTAAATAACGAAGGCAAACAAACAGCAAAGGAACACTGAAAGGAACCCGTGAAGCCAGAAATGAAACGGGCATTAATGCAATAGTCAGAATGTCCCTGTGACCCAAAGCCTCAAACTGAAATTAATCTGCTGATCAAATCAATCTACAACGCATGGCTGAGAGTTGGTGTAAACAGTTAAACAATCTCTGATTACACTGTATATACTACCATAAAGTTATGGCCAAAACAGGTAGCGAGGAAAAAAAGTGTTGCAAAAAAAGAAAAGGAAAAAAAAGGAAAAGAAAAACATGTCACAATGACTAATGGAGTGCTATGAATGGAAGGTTATGTCTAGCTCCACCGATGTGTCATTTAAACACTAAATAAAACTTTGATGGTCGAAGGCGTATGCAATCTTAAGATAAAACCTATTTGTTCAAAAAAAGGCAGCTGTCGGCGAAGTCCACAGTGTTTACTTTAGCTCTCAGGATCAGGGTCAGCTTGGAAGACAAAGGGCAGAGTTTCCTGTAGACATTTTTACAGAGGCTGGTGGGCGAATGTGGTCCTAGACTGGATTAGGTTCCTTACCTCATTGTATTCTCCGTACAAAAAGATGGATATCATTAAGCTGTCGCTTTTCTTGTTGTTTTCTCGTCCGTTTGAAAGACAATCTAAGAGCATGATTTTTTTCCCCTTCATTTTATTATTTCACCATAGGGGCAACTTTCAAGGAAAGGGAAATGTTTGGTTTTCTAATGATCAATCCTATTTTAAGAGGTTAGCCAATGTCAACAACATAAAACGGGGTTGTCGGATGATTAAGAGAGACTCTCTATAAATTTTGAAACAGTGCAAAGTTTACATGAAAAATGCACAATGAACAGCACTAAGCAGGGGGGAGCCAGATCAAGTGTTAGCGCCTATCAGTTACAGCTATAGTCTGTCTGGATTCAGAAGTAAAAATCTGATACTCAAACATCATTACGTGTTTGTTTATGCTTCGAGGGAATACTTCGGTCACGGTAAGGACTATGTGGTTATTCAGTCACAGATAAAATCCACATCACTCATCTGGAAAGAAGTGCCGACTCGCGAACAACGCCTACGTCGAGGTTCATAAACTTTTGAATGAAAGTTACGCGTTGAAACGTTAACTACTCTTTGCCAACGTTGCCATTATTAAGTTACCTCAACGCATTGTGAATAGAACGGATATACGTTAACGCCATGCACCGCAGTCTGAGGTTTCCGTTGAGGACTTGGACTACTAGCTTACATAAGGACTATAACCAACGAAAACATTAAGTTTAACGCGGTCGCTCTGTATACCGTGCCGCCGATGTCATCGTATATATTTGCAATATTTACAAACCAATAAGAACTTACCAGGAAAAAAATATTTTTGGCACCGAAGATTTGCGGGTGGCGTTCAGTAGCTACAACAAAAGCTAGCAGCAGTTATGACGCTAGCTTATGAGGAACGTTTTGCCTCTCTTAATCGTTTTGCCACCAGGTACTGTACCAATTATTGTATTGTTTGATTCAGTAATCATTCAATAGGTTTGAACAAAAACGTGTATTTATCGTTTACTCACAGAATTAAGAAAGAGCAGGCAGTCTTTGACTCGGGGTGGTGTCACAAGAGGATCCCTCGGTGCTGTGCCTTCCTCAGTAGCGAGCTAGCCACAAGTTGCTAACAGAGGGCGTGGCTTAGGTAAAAGTAAACAATAGTGACGTCATGTTAACACGCGGACTGCTTCAGATTCGCTTGGATTTTGACGCATATTGCGTTACATTTTAAAGCAACAGCATTAAAAAAAAACATCATTAGGTAGGGTGCAACATTCTAACAAACTTTTTTTCTGTAAAACGAGCAGTATCACATTAAACTCCCATCTAACTAAAAAACGTGACAATATTTATTAACAAAATACAGCTCAATAATCCAAAATCATACCACCCCCCCAAAAAAAACGGTTGTTGAAAATAAAAAAACTGAAAGCATGGCAGCGCTGGAAACAGCCCTAAAACGGCACTTACATCGCTTTTAAAAATATCTTTATTTTGCTGAATATAGATGTTTTTCAAGGAGTTCTTGGTTTCTCATTATAACTTTGGGTGTTGTCAAAAATGACGAGAGCCTGAAGTGATATGATCACCACGTTATAATCACATACTTTAGTGTTATTAGAAGTTAAATGGCTTACTTTAATAGCTTCACTCAAGCCAGCATGTCTATAACTGAAGTTTCAGCCTCGCTCAACCATACAAAACACTGTTTTCATATTGTGTAGAACATAAAGTCATATTATTAGCAGACATTTCTTTATTGTTGGAAATGTCATTTGAAAGTCAAAATCACACATGATGGCTTCTCCCGGTATTACTCATGAAAACAAACTGCGGTTGATCAGATCACATACACAGTATGGTAGTGGTTAATTGGGTAAATGTTAAAATAATGGTCAGATTTTAGAGATGAGACCCAGGTGTCATTCCAAATGCGTTAATGTCAAATATCTCTCCTGCGTAAATCAGACCACAAGAGGGAGACATCCTCCAATGAGCCTCAATGAAACAAGAACAAAAACTTACCACCTCAATCCACTGTACTTCTGGACTTGAAACTTAAAGCCTAGACTTTCATATCGACAGGATGACATAGACCCTGGAAATAGAGGTGCCTTAAAAAACATGGCAGAATGTAAAGGAATGCGTGGGGAAACGAGAGCAATTCAGATCTCCAACCCAGCGACCAGCGGGGCCCCAAAAGACAAATTGCTGATATACTGGTACCAAACTCTCTATGCCATCATAACGTGTTCTTGGGCCACAACCTGATGGGTTAAGGCAGAAATTTGGCATTGATTATTTGGCATGTGGTCAGAAAAAGATTTGACTGACAGTAAACAGATTTCATTCAAAGCAATAATCCACTTAGACTGATTATGACAACCTGACCAATTTGTATCAATTTCATGTCCAAATAATTAAATAAATAGACTGCAAAAAGTTTGTTGAAGTTTAAGAATCTTTTATTTTCATTATAAGACATGAAAAATCAATGGAGAAAAGAAATCTATATACACTGACATGCTGAGAACTGCTTGAACTTTGTAAAAACACTAAGAAACACAAGGCACCATTCAAGAACAACAATCAGTTACAAAATTTGGATCTAAAATGAACTATTAGAAGTATATGTGCAAGTATTGCTATTCTCAGACTAGAGTATAAGCTTGATCAACTGAAGTACACCGGAAAGCAAAGAAAGTCTGACAAAATGTGTACTTTAAAATATAATTCCCTCTATCACTATTGACACAGTCCAGTAGCGGGCAAACTGAGTCATCAGCCATACAAATAGTTCAACACTTGTTTTGGCTGTTAAAATGAAGGCAGCTCTCAGAACGTTTAAATGAATACTTCATAGTTCTGTAGAAATAACCTAAAAATAGTAGCATTACATACTGCTTAGCAATTAATACAATCATTTAAAAAAACCTACTCTTTACAGACACTCAAAAAAACAAAAAACAAAGACATCTTTGGTTGGATTAAATGATAAACATAATTACAATTTTAAGTAGCAAATAATTATATTAAAAAACAAATAAATGATTATGAAAGAATGTGCTGTAGAACTAACAAAGAATCGCTGAAAAACACGGTTATTTTTTCATCTTGGTGACAAAGCTCAAAGACGTTGCCTAATTTTCTTGTGGTAGCTTAAATAAATCTAATCCAAAACAGAATCTAACCAAACACAGGCCACCATGTCACATCAGTAGCTTTTAGCGTTTTTATTGGTGTATTAATGTCGGCACTACTTGGCACTTGTTTTTTGGACTGATTCCTCACTCTTTTGCCATTGTTCAGGCCACTTTAGGATAATTGTTTGGAACGAGAGAACATTTTCGCATTGACTCATTTCAGTTAATACCTAAAGCAGAAAAAAAAACAGAATAGAGCCTCATGTTTGGTCTCAGGCATTGCTACTCCCTGTGACTTTAAAGGGGCAACACGGAGGGTATTTCACATACACAAAAACGGAAGGAAGCAAAAAGTACTCCATTTAGGGCAGAGGCTGAAACTAAAACGTCAAAATGCAACACAGAAAATAAGCCACAAATTCACCTCATAAAGATGACTGCATCTAGTCCTCAGGATGATAATCTGTGCACTGAGGTCATTTCATTGTAACGGGAACATACTCGTATCCTTCATGAAAAAAATAATAATAATAAAAATGTGCAAAATCTTGCTCGTTCATTAACAGCACTCGAAAGATTTATCCTGCTTAATTCAAAAGATTTATGCTGCTCAATACAGAGAACAGTGTTTTGGCTCTAAATTACAATGAAAAACATTGTTGGGATAAAAAGGTACACCCTAATGCAATAATAGGGTTTAATTCAGAGATGTGTGCACAGTAACCTGTTCAAACTATTTTAGAATGGATCTAAAACTAACATTTAAACTGAACATCTATTGTTTTGCCTTTATGAAAAGTTTCAGTATAAAAACATACCAACAATGTCTTGGATAATAGAAAACTAAAACAATTCATGCTTTCGAGTGAAATGATTGTACTTTCTTTTATGAATGTCAGTAGTTTTCAGAGAAGTGAAGTTTACTGTCTTATTAATTGTAATTTCAGGTGGACTGACGTAAGAATGAATAACTCAATGACTTAGCAATTAGCTCGACAACCCCTAAATTTGGAAAGAAAAAAACAAAACAATTGTAGACCTCAGAGGGTGCGTTGGGAAAATTGTCCTAATGTCTTGATCGACCTTTTTCAAAAGCATGATGCTCCTCGTGAGCTGAAAAGGGAAAAAATGAAAAATAGTGAGATAATAACTAAATTGTTCACATTTTTGTTTGCTGCCACTACTCAGTCATTGTCAATGAAGAGAAGATACTCACGTTTATAAAACACGGCTTTAAAAGATATCTTTGGAAGGAGATCGTGGATCTTTCCCATGATGTTTGACTCACTGACACAGGAAGCGTTTCCGTTCCAGACCTGAACGACATCTTCTCTGTCCCTTACACTCACGCTGACCCCCACTACTTCATCCCCTGTAAGTTCAGACAAAAACGGGATTTTAAGGTACACAGTAACTGCTAGAGAAAAAAAACATTTAAAAAAACAATGGAAGATAGATTTTACCAGCTGAAAAGAAATGACAAGACATCTACCTGAGGCACAGTAATCACTGAACTGCTCTCCGATAGTCGCCAGCAGCAGCTCCTTCCATACAGAGGACTGTAAGCAGAGGGAAATGTATTCAGTGAGTGGTACAATGCTCATTCCAGAACAGTTTGGAAATCTAAACAAATAATTTAAAAAAGAATATCCAATGTTTACAGTTTCATAACAAAAGCAATGTAATTTCTTCAATTTGTTGCCAGCAACACGTCTTCAGACAAAATTAAACAAAGCTGGAGCAGAACCATGTTTGTCACGGTATAAAAAGGCCCTCTTCTTCTGAAACGGGTTCTAGCTGCTCATAGTCTTGGGTCTTTGTCCTACTTTGCTTTGTAGAGCTGAGCTGACAGGTACAGCATACCGCTTAGCTTTGTCTGGCTGAAATATGCAAAGCCCTCCTATTCTGAAAGTAACTGAGACGTCTAAATGGGAAAACACGTTTTATCTCAAATGCGTATGGACCTTTCAGCATCGTGATGGTGTCTTTCTAGATTTGCAAGTTATCAGCTCCACGGGCACTAATGCAGCCTCCTACCGATCAGATATGTGGGATATGAACTGGGTGCTGATAAAAAGTAACAATTTCTCACTCTTGTTTAGTTGAGATGATTTAGTTTTCTTGATTTAAAAAATTTAATTTGTCAAGTTTATGTAGGAAATGTATAAAAGTGCATAAATAAGTTAAATAACTTACTGTGCACTCTTTGGGTACTTTCATTTTCCATACACCACCTTTGGCATTGCTTTCTTCTTCCCTGTATGCAAACCAGCAGGGAGCATTATGAAACAATGAGTACAGTATTTTGAGTGATATCAAAAAGCAGGTCAAAGTGCAGGTTCAACTTACCAGAGAGGCTTCCTCTCCCCCCTCATCATGTGATAGCTGCATCTCAGAGGCAGGCTGGAGACACCAGGTATGTTGTTGTAGACTCTCCAAAAATTCTGCCCCAGTCCAAAGTTAAACAGAGGAAACAGGACATTTCTCTGAGCCTTTTACTGGCAAACGGTTGTCCCGGTTAATAATTCACATCCTACCTCGGGCAATTTCACTCACAACATTTTCCTAGTTGCTAATATAAAATTATCTACTTTAATGCCTCAAGGAATAAAATAAGAATACAGCTTTGAAAGCATCTTACCTGGACAGTCTCCACTGTGTAGATTTTCTTCAGGTTTGACTCACATTCAGCTGCTGTCGTTCCCGGTAGAGACCTGACCGGAAAATAAAAAAACACAGATGTAATAACGTCTATTTCATAAGGCTTTAGAAAATTAAAAGGCTTTCTTTCAGTGCTACATGTACCAGAAATTTCAGAGCGCTGCCCTCTGAGCAGACAGGTTGGGTGGTGGTGGTGGAATCAGATGACAAATAAGCCAGTAAACAAGACTGACCCCATTTGAATATCTGATTTGTACACCCTGTCCATGCTGCAGCTTGTGTAACTGCGAGCTATGTCACGATCACCTCTAAACAGCCTCAATAATACTCATAAAATGTTATATTTGTATAATGTATATACATAATGTATCTGCATAAAATCTATCTTTAGAATTAGATCAATACAAGCATAAACGACATAAAGTTGAGTCAGTTAGTTTTAGAGCAATTAGAAAATCTCATACTGACATGCTGTGAAAATCAGTTTGAGTCTATGTTCAGCCATTTGGTTATAATTACACCCTGTTGCTTTTTTTAGGATCCTCCATGAGGAAGGGCGCTTATGTAAGTCACAAGTTAGCAGATGTACCATTTCTGTGCCAGGCTTTGATTTCATTTTCCATGTTTTCATTTGAGCAGAAAAATAAATAAACCCCTGCATCAATATCAAACAATTCCACGGTGGTACGTGGGTTCCCCTCACGGTCTGATCACGGGCCTGATAAATTCTTCCACCCTCTTTGTTCTCTTAATTGGGTCAGCAGAGTTCACCCACTTGACACGAGCGACGTCTTACGTAGAAAACAACAGCGTTAAAAAAAAAAAACAAACCAAGTAACGCTTGCTCACCTATCGAGCCAGAAAGTCCAGGGAGAGTGTAAAGGCAGGGTGTCATAGTCACTTTCCAGGGAAATCCTTCCCAAGTCCCGGTCTCCGGTGAGAAGGCTGGGCTCCAGCAGACTCGGCGTGGACGATGAGCTCAGTTGTATAGCAGCTACCGGTAAAGCCATTGTTGATGTTGCTGTGTGCTCTGAAAGCTCAACAACTTTATTGAACTTTATATAGCCGCTCTATTGCGCAAACACGCGCGCTATTTTGGTTCCCTGTATATATGTATATGTAGGTTTGTTAGGTAAAATAATCCAGCTGCTGACTCATTGGTCGCTTCGCCGGCTTGCGCCGTCACAACTAAAAAAAAAAAAACACCCCAAAAAAACACGATGACGTTTTGATGACTGCCCGCTACATCCAGGGCGCACCAGAGCTGTCGAGAAGTTTCCTTCATTGAAGATTGTTTACGTTTTAAACGCGCTTTCGAGTTCTGTGGTTTCACAGAATAATGACTTTATGTAAACCTATGTTTTTTTTTAGCCATGAAGGCAGCATTGAGTGTCAAACCTTTCTCTCTTCCGCAAGCTAATACGCAACTGTAAGCATGCGCAGTCACCACTGCCAGCAGCTTTGTTGGGTTGCTACTTGCTAACTCTACTGCTAACAAGCAAGTGTTTCCTGCCTGTGACTGGACACAGCCATGGATATCGACGCATTATTGGAAGCGTTTCAAGGCAATGTTTACATTTATCCAATAAACGATCCACGTTTAGCGTCGTAAATGATTATACACACTATTTGACTATCGGCATAATCTGTACTATTTGCTAACTACGCTACGCACGTTACCGTTCGAAATGTAGCTTACCAACAACCCTACGTTAATAAAAGGGAGCGAGATATCCGTTTTTTACGCTTCAGCTTGAAATGGCTTATCAAACGTTAGATGTGGCTAGAAAGACGTCCGTTCCATTCCACACATTTAACCAATTTACACCCTGACTGACATTTGACGATTATGTAAACAGCTAGCTTGGTAACGTCACGACATACCGCTAACAATTCGCGGCTAACTTCATAACTTTTTAGAACTTCGCATGCTGATCACTAAAAGTTGTGTTTTGCAGTCTTGTGGTACAGCACATGCTTTGTCGTCTGACTTGATTGTGTACACTTTTCCTTGACTCAAATATTACAAAAGCACTTGACGCGAATAACCATTCATTTGATCAGACAGGCTGCATGAAACCACGAGTGTTTCTCTTATCAATTTACATCATTTTTAAACATTGGAAAGTAAAATGGTTAGGGTTCGTTTGTCAATATTTCATTTAATAGATCAGGGTTAATGAAAGTGTGAATGATACATTTGGCTCATGTGGCTTGGATAAGATTAGTCTGATCTGCCACTTTAATTTGTGCTATTAACAATCAATGTCTTCTCTTCCCCAATGTGACTCTTTCCAGACTTTGAGAAGAAAGGGAAGAAAGACCTCTGTCCTGTTCTGGAGCACTTCTTGTGTCATGTCGCTAAGACAGGGCAACCCATGTGAGTTGGAATAGCTGGAGCTCACATCACACTCTTGGAAAATTTCCTTGAAAGAAATCAGTGAATTGTTTTTCGTTGTACAATGCAAAAGTTTTCATGTTGTGTTCGCAATGAGTAGACTTCCATCTCTTCCACCTTTCAGGATCCCATGGTTGCAGTTCAAAACATATTTTATGTTTAAGTTAGAAACTGTCATGGATGACTTCCATGCCTCAACACCAGAACAGAGAGGACTGCATAATCCCAATGTGGAGTATGTCGCCTTTGAAGAAATGAAGAAAAGAATCTTAAAGATAGTGGATGGTTACAATGGGTGAGTTATGTATAAACTGTACATCGTTGCATATTCCACAAAAATCTCAATAGTGAATATGTTTACAAACTAAATTAGATGAATGCTCTGTTAGATGTTGTTTGCTGTGGCTTTAAATTATTTTTTTTTTTAAAGGAAACATGATTTAATCCTGGATCTGTTTTTGAAATATTTCAGAATTCCATTCACTATCCAGCGCCTATGTGAACTCCTTACGGACCCCAAGCGAAATTATACAGGCACAGACAAGTTTCTTAGAGGTTTGGAAAAGGTGAGCAAAGTTATTTTGGCTGGTGATATCTGATGTATCAAGCCCAAGCCTTTGGAATGACTTAAATATATCATTTATTGCAGAATGTAATGGTGGTGAGCTGCGTCTACCCTTCATCAGAGTAAGTACAATACTCAGTAATGTTTTGCCCCAGTTATGTTCCTATAGCTACAGTATTTCTGTTAAACTTTTTCTGATGCATATTGATTGCTCCTTTGAGTTTTTCAAAGTCCTTTACACTTGAAAATAAACAGTAAAACTAACAGACAGTTGTGTTTGTGCCTTTTGACTTTTTTCAAAGGAAAAATGGGGCATCCAGTGTAAACAGAATGAATGGAGTGATGTTTCCTGGTAACTCCTCACTATATTCAGACAGGTGGGAGGATTGTACTTGTCAGTGATTGACTTAGATAAATCTGACTTTACCACACATAAGCGAAACATACTCAGGGTGTAGTCTAGATAGATCTATAGTTCCACTCAGTGCAGGCCACTTGCATTCTGCTGATTTGTGATCCAGCTTGGGGAGTTACATTTGTTTAAAATGACCACTGTCATCCTCTTTAGTCGAAATGTGAATGGACCGGGTACACCGAAGACACTCCATAGACCAAAGCTGTCCTTGTCCACTTCGCTTTCTACCAATGGGCTCCCTGACTGTCCAGCCAGCACGGAACCAGAGCCAATCCCTGAGGTGGAGGAGCACCCTGTGAGGTGAGGATTGGCGAGTGTGATAATAGCTTTTTTCTGTCAAGCCTAGACGTTTCTTTTATACTCCTAGTCATATTTGACATTTAAAAAAAAAAAGAAAAGAAATGAACAACAGGATGTTTCTATACACCTATATTTACAATAATATGAGATTAAATGCAGAGAATAGATAGTTATTATCCATCTTTTTTCAATAGTATGTATAAAGTGATGTAATGACCTCAATATTTTTCATGCGTTTGCTACAGTGAAACACAACTATCAGAGGATGAGATGTCACCAAAGAGCGGGATAAAGAAGAAACACCCAGAGGAAGAAGGGGAACCAGATGGAGACAAACAGGAGGTCAAGAGGCTGAAGTTTGACGAAAAGGAAGAGGATGAAAGTGCAAGTGAAGAACAGGAGTCATTACATCACAGAGGACCAGAGGGCGTGCCTGCAAAAGCAGAGTCGGGAGAAGAATCTTGTGGTCAAGAGAGCGAAAGTGGAACATCCCATGACTCATCAAATATTTCAGACAAGCATCGTAAGTGCAACGTCATCCTAATGTGGTCTCGTTTGTGGACTCTCACAAACAAGAGATGTATTCTTACGTTTATGTGTTTCAAGTGAATTTGTGCTGTAAAAAAAAAAAAAATGCTTCCAGTTGGCCTCAAAGTGACTCTCTATCACTTGCTAACTTTTCGTGAAATGGCTGGATACACTTGGGAAGAACATTAGCACCCATTTAACGCTGCAATTGTCCAGCTACAATTCCCTCTTGCTTGACTTAAGTCACTTTCTCTTTTAAGGCATCTGCCCTATTTGACTCGGACTGAATAAACAACTGATAAACAAGGCCTAACATTTATCCTGTGATGATGCAAGTTGCATATGTCTTTTTAACTTACTTTTAATTCCTACTAATGAATGCATTTTCGATGTTCATATAAACCGTTGTTTACACACAGAAGTCATTTTAGACTTTTAGGTCACATGCACTCAGAGGCCTTTCCAACAGGTTTACTTAGGAGGGAATATTCACTACATACTGTTTGCAAACGGTGAAATGCTGTATTATTTTCCTCTTAGAACCTGGCAGCACACAAACAGAACCATCTGAGAAGGAAGGAGAGTCTTCCTCTGAGCCAGAGGCTGCGGTCGGTGTTCAGAGCGACAGCGCTGTGGACCGATCTGAGGAAGCGGCTCCGACAGAGACCAACACGAGCTTTGAGCAGGACAGTGGGGAGAGCAGCAGCAGCAGCAGCAGCAGCAGCAGCAGCGATGGGGAGAGCTTAAGCAGTGACAAGCAGGTTTCTTCTTCCAGTAATTCACCCGACCTGTCAACAGAGGGAGGCGCCGACATTTCAAACAGTGCAGAGACTGCATTAGAACCTGGGGAACATGACTAAGACAAAGGCCAGCATGCCAGTTGACTTTTTTTTCCTTTTTCTTTTTTACACTGTATGATACCATATTAAGGGTATATCTGTAGCACTGTGGACCGTTAGGACCAATAGCGACGTGGACCTCGAGACTCCTCACCGAAGGATTTTCTTTTTTTTTTTTATCCTCTTCGACTTCAGCTTCTCGTGGTCGCTCGTCAACAGGTCTTTAAACTGGAAGGAGATCATTTAAATGAGATCATGGAGACTACCTTTTTCACTGTTGACTAAAAAAAATTTTCTAATATTTTTTTTCTTTATTTTATTTTTTTTATATTTGAACATTATATACACCTTTATAATGTATTCAGTAATTTCAGTAGTCTTTTGACATTTATTCCAAAGAGATCCACCTGACAGAGGTTGTGTTTTAGCCTAAGCACAGTAGTTTCAACTGTCCCTGGGGTGAATGCGTCTCTGGGTGCCCGAGGACACCTGCCATTCACAATGTGAAGCAAAACTTCACAGATGTCTGCGTTTTCTACAAAGCACATACCACAAAACAGATTTCCTAACATCGTGCATATGTTAGCATTGGAGCCCACAAGATGTGAGAAGTGTTGTCATTTTTGATTTGTCACTGTATGAAGCCAATGTTACACATTTGTGCCAGTAGTGACCACTTTGGTTAGACAAAACACTGGTTTGGCAGAAGGGTAGCCATTTCTCCGTCAGAGTCTACACAAAACACAAGGTACTTACACTTTCTGTATGCCATACCTTCGAATTGTACGGCCGTCACTTTTGATATTTGGGATTTTTACAGTACGTTTCTGTAAATCAGTTTTTGTAGACTTGTAATACATGTCAGCTGCCTTCAAAAAACTGTTTGCTGGAATTTGAAGGCTTGTAAGATAGTATTCATGGAAAGCAATAAATGCTTAAATATGAAGTGACTACTGAAGTGAGTTATTCTTTTTGTGATACAGCGTGCGAGTAAGGACAGAAACAACTACTGTGTCAGCTCAGAAAAGGTCAAGTTCTTGACCTTTATTATGTTTTTTTTAGTTGGAGATTTGCTGCAGTGTTTATGATTGTTGTCCGTTCTGTGATCCCATTTCAAGCTTGAGGTGTCAGACAAATATCCTCACCATTGACTCTACAATGCTTTGCTGTGCAGAGGTAACTGTTGTCTTAAGGACAAGAGGGTGTCCACCTCATGTGGCTGTGAAAGGGCTGCAGATCAGCAGCCCTGCACCACGATGTTTTACAACTGGTTTGCTGTGTTTATTCAGATATATATATATTTTAAACTCTGGTCCCATCTGTCCAAAAAACATAGTTTGTCTTCTGACTTTAGATGTTGCATTGCAAATTTTTTTTCCTGACAAACATTCTAACAAACCCCACCAAATCAAACTGTACAGACATGAACTTTAACATGTAACATGTTAACAGAGGCCTGCATAATCTGAACTATCTCTCTCTATTTTCCCTTCCTTTATTTTTCTTGATTTTTCAGTAGTGCTTGGTTTAACTTTGGAGAGAACAGCTGTCTTCTCATTCTGAATGATTTCTCCCGATGTGGAATAATGTTTTTTATTCTTCAGCATGTGATCAGATGCATTAATGATGGAGTGGCACTAAGGAAATAGATGTGAGATAATTGGGAGAGGAAGCATGCCTGTTGTGTAAGGCCAGACGGCGTGAATCATTTTAATCGCGAGAGGATAACATCCAGTGACTCCTCAATGGCCTTGACACATCTAAGCTAAGATTATCACTAGCCCTGTTGTCAGCACATATCAGGGCCCAGGGAGTTTTTGGGCCAGACCAATTGTATAAGGAACAATGATGTCATTCTGAAAACACAAATTCATTCCTAAATAACCCCCAAACAGGGCCTAACACATAGCCTGTGTAATCCACTGTTATGCATTTGTGGCTGTGTTTCCCACAGAGAAAAGCTGTGTCACTGAATGTAAACAGTAATCACTCCCTTCAGAAGTAACTTGACTACCTGGTTTAGATCAAATGTACTTTTAAGAAAAAGTCCATATTTAAGAAGTGTTTGCTCCTTCGAAAGCTCTTACAGGTCCCAAAGACAGCTTCTTTTGCATATGATAGGTGATGCTGAGTTTTCTTTTATGGATTTTTGGTGAGAAAAGTCACATCTTTAGCTGACATGGTAAGAAGTTAATAATAAGGTAGTGTTAATCATATCATGGTACAGGATCCTTTCAATTTATTTTGAATCCTTCTAACAATCATTTGACATACAAACTGTCAACCTTACTTTATGTCAGTATTTTTTTTCACAAACCAAAGTCATTTATTTACATCTGTATGAAAGGTGTTTCTAAAAGCATGTGAGCTTGGTGGCGTCTGCCTCCACCACCCCGCATATAGCACAGTATGTTTACTTCTTGGGTATCTAGGTACAAGCAGCAGCAGCACAAAGGAAATCCCCTCATGATTTGTGTGCTGTTCTGTGAGCTAATTGATTTTGACAGGTCTTCATTTTAAATCCCTTATCATGTGATCCATAGCAATCTGTGTCTCATCCTCACTTTCAGAGGGGATTTGCAACAATAGGGGGCCTAATAACACCTCCGCTTGCATGGACTTTCATGTCATATTGATTCATTTGATTTTTGCAGATTAGCATAAAGTTAGTTGTGGTTATTGACTCCGCAATCGTGCATTAACTTTTAATGGATTTTGCATTGTAGAGGAGAAAGCCAGAGTTAACCAGGTCAGGTGTGTGTAATGTAAGCATCACTTCAGCGTTGGAGGAGATAGAGAAAACCTTCCCGCCATGGGTCAGCGCCTGAGCGAAGAGGGTGACCCAGACAAGGAAATCGATGTGGCAGAGCTGCAGGAGTGGTACAAAAAGTTTGTTGTGGAGTGTCCAAGTGGAACTCTGTTCATGCATGAGTTTAAGAGTTTTTTCGGTGTCACTGACAACAAAGAGGCTGCCGATTACATCGAAAATATGTTTCGAGCCTTCGACAAGAATGGGGTAAGTAAGATGTGAACTTGCCTTTTATAAAAGGCTTTAAATAATTCATCTCTGACTCTGTCACTAAGTCTGATACATCTGTGCTCTGTAGTTCTGGTTTCCAGTTACTTAATGCATTTTTATCTACAAATTTCTATCAGTGTTATTTAAATTTTTTGGGATTATTTGACCAGCAAAAAATGAATCTGTGGGTATATTGATACTTGGTTTGGCTGCAGGTCAAAGCAAAAAAGCCAAATTTCAAGTCGACCTTTAAATAATGTCTTTTTTATTGTACCATTTAGAAGAATGTTCTTTGAAATGATTAGCAAAATAAGCATTTACTTCTTCCTGATTAATGAAATCTTTCCTTTCTTGCACACAGGACAACACCATTGATTTTTTGGAATACGTAGCAGCTTTGAACTTAGTTCTCAGGGGCAAATTGGAGCACAAACTTAAATGGACATTCAAAATGTACGACAAAGATGGAAGCGGGTGCATCGATAAAACGGAACTCCTTGAAATTGTGGAGGTGATTTTTAATCATTTTTGTTATAATCATTTTTTAAATAGGGTCATTGATCAGGAAATAAAGATATGCATCAACATCAGTGTGCTGTGGTTTGGGCATGAGTTATTGTAACACCCTTTCTTGTCACAGTCTATTTATCGGCTGAAGAAAGCCTGCCATGGAGAGCTGGATGAAGAGTGTAATCTGCTTACGCCTGACCAAGTGGTTGACCGGATATTTGAGCTGGTTGATGAAAATGGAGATGGTGAGAGTCTGAAATATTTTTTTGAAAGTTTAGAATGTTTTTGCCACACATTTGAGCTTTTCAGTGGCTATCTGTGGCCTTGAAAGGCAGTAAGAGGAGACTGTATGTTTGCTTTTTTTCTAGAGAAGTTATGCATTGGTTATTTGCTAGTTTCAATAATAAATTCAGAATGTTTAAAAATTTGGTCATGCAGACTTACTGTCCTTTGTCCTTCAGGGGAGCTCTCGCTGGATGAGTTCATTGATGGAGCACGGAGAGACAAGTGGGTGATGAAGATGCTCCAGATGGATGTCAATCCCGGGGACTGGATCAATGAGCGAAGACGCAGTGCTGACTTCTAAAGCTGGAACGTGGACTGTCAGTCTGTCACACACACTCTCCCTGTGTGACCATTCACATTTTGGATTTTTACATATTTGGATATGAAACTAATTCTGGCAATACCGTAAATGGTTTAGATCTATTCCTCAAACCACTCTTTTGCTTCCAAAGGGGCAGTTGCACATTCAGTGAAGCTGTGGGGCAACTTAGCATCAGTAGTCTTGAACTAATTTAGTTTGACCTGTGACAATGTAGATTTCTCTGTCATATTCTACAAAGACTCCAATTATGAAGCATGTACTATATATTGTTTTGTGTTTGTGTCATACATTAAGAATAAATGTCATTCAACAAATATACTGGAATCCAAGAGGGGTCTCTTCATTCTCTTAGGTGTTTGAACATTGCAGCTTCACTATGGCAAGGACTTTTAGACTGAATTTATTTACTGTCTTTGGAGAGTTTTAATGGATCTTCACACGAGAGAGTATTACTTTTATAATGTGACACATTTACAGAGAAACAATATTCTCCATTCGCTATACTCTTTTCATCCCAATAGGGGTTATTGGAGCCAAGTCCAAAGAAAATATAGATCTGTTCATAACACTGTATTACAAAAAAAAAGTATATACAAATATGAATAATACATTTTCAAAACATCAGATGGGTATACTTATTATGAGTAAGTTTTGAACGGAAATGGATCCATTTAGGTATTAGTGTTATACTTATATTAGTTTAAAACAACAGCTATGACAAGGCCTTCATTTAAATGAATTCAGCAGACATGGCTTCCTACATACAAATCTCGTTTCCTCTCGCGACACTATAAATGGTGTTCGATGACAGCTGCTATCATGCCGCATATTGATTAGCCAAAGCTAGCAGTATAGCCTTAAAGAGACAACCAACTGACCTCATTTTATTATTTATACAAGCCACCTTATTTCGGAAAAAAAACCTTCCAACTGAAAGGGACTGCCTAATAGCTTGGCGCGTTTCTTGGTTCCTCCATAGACTCTCAACGGTGTCTTCACGGCTTTTGGCACAAAATCTAGACTGTCGAGAAGACCATAGCTCTCTGTTGCCAATGTCTTCCGAAACTCAAACAACATCCTGTGCCGATAACATGGAGGTAACACCTTGAAATACATGCAAAAACTGTTATTACGTGTTTAGCGGCTCTTCTCCTCTGACATTCACGTTTTGTGCTGTTACTCTACTTTGTCACGCGGCGTAATACCGCCGCCTGCTGGTCAGTCTGCGGAGGACAGCTGGAGACCACATTATGTCACCGGGGACCTGTTTACTGGCCCAGCGGACGAAGCCCTGGCCCACTGCATCAGTGAGGACTGCCGCATGGGGGCAGGCATAGCAGTGCTGTTCAAGAAGAAGTTCAACGGGGTGCCAGAGTTAAAGGAACAGAGTGAGTCAACCGATTCATGAAAAATTAATCAGGAGTGAAATTGATTTTTGAGGAAATGAGTCCTGTGTGATAACTTTGTCAAAAACACTGTGTTGAGAATCACTCTTTTTTTATAAGTCTGTATTATCGAAAAATAATGAAAGATTTTCATGTTTAACATTTGAATAGCAATTTGGCCTGTTTATATTCGCTCAATGTAGGATTCATTTGAAGTAGTTTACCACTGTGATAGTGACATTGAAGTTATAACGCATTGACTTATGAAATATCATGTTTGACATTTCAATGAAGTCTTATCTGATGTGGCTTATTTCCCCCTCTATATCCAAACAGAAAAGGTGACCGGACAGTGTGCTGTGCTGACAAGAAATGGACGCTTTGTCTACTATCTGGTAAAAACGGCATGGTTAACTAACTTTGCACCAGATCATTTATTTACAGGTGACAGTGTTTACTTTTGCAAGTGAAAGTTTCCTATTATTTTATAACAGATTACAAAGAAAAGGGCTAGCCAGAAACCCACCTACAGCAGCCTGAGACAGAGCCTCGAGGACATGAAGGCTCATTGTGCCAAGAATGGAGTGACAAGAATATCAATGCCTCGGTTTGTAGCAGCTCCAGTCATTTTGTGGCACTTCATCAAGCAGGAATTTGTTCGTCAAATTCACGCTTTGTAAAGGTTTTATGGGTACAGTTCAGCAGCACGTTTGTCTCTCTTGCTCTGACAGTATCGGGTGTGGCCTGGACAGACTGGAGTGGCCGAAAGTGTCGGTGATACTGGAGCAGGTCTTCAAGCACACAAACATCACCATCACAGTCTACAGCCTTCCTCAGAGAGCAGAGACCACTGCAATGAAGGACAATTCACATAGATGATAAAAATGGAAATGTTAGTATTTTTTTCGTTCATGTTCACTTCATGCACTTTTTTATAATGTCAAAAATTGGAGGGAGAAATGTTATGGAGTATATTATATGGAAATAAAATGTCATTTTTTCTACAAATCAAAATCAAATAAGCTCACTTGACCTTATACAAGTACATTTGACAGAATTGTACAGTTCAGACTGTTGGTATGAGTGCAGTTAGTAGATTTATGGTTTTCTTTTTGTTAGATTAAATCTCCCTCTCACTCCACAGGATTAAATTTTAGACCTTTTCAAGTTGTCCATATTGTATTTCCCAGGCAGATATTAAAATCAATTATGCTTCCCACTCTTAAAAAGTACACAAAGCTCTTCACATGGGCTATTCAAAAGTAGACTTTTTAGGATGTCAAAAATAAAAATCTGTCATATTTCATTTTATGCATGTCATTTTATTCACACCCTTAATGCTTGTTTAAAACACTTTTGGCCCAAAAGGCAATTTGAAGTCGTCTGAGTCATCTTGCTGGCTTTGTACACCTTTCTTTTGCAAATGTCATTCACTGTTCGAGCCGACTTTCGCTTTTTAAGCAGCGACCTTGATGACATAATATCTCTCCATAGAAATGGAGGCCATATTCACAGTCACTCACAGTTGCCTTGCACTGAATAACTTTGCATTCTTATTACATATACAATGTGAGTTATGTTTTGTAATTCTAGTTGTCTTAGATGAAATGCTGCCAATTGGCTCTAAAAAAAACAATAATCATATTGACTAGAAAAGCTCTCCCCCATACAAGTAGCATTGGGGTATTTTGTTTCAACCTAATGAGACCAAAAGCAATGTTTGGGCTTGACTGTAAGTATTTATCTCGGCTGCTAAGCTTGGAATTTCAACATGGCTTTCTATCTGGTTTGACATTCTAGAAATGACTGTTTTCAGTTACCCTAATTTGACTTTTTTTTTGGTCCTGGTTATGGGACTTTGGTCCATGCTTGGGGTATTGTCAAATGCATATAATCTAAAAGACACTATATTTAATTCCCATTGAGACTTAATTATCAATTGTCAAGATAAGTCATTTAAAAAGGACTGTGATTGAGCATCTCCTAGAGTACCCCACCCTCTTTTTCATGAAATATGATCCCATGTTTACTTTGCGATGCAGATGGTGAAGGAAGCACTGATGCTGCTTTGCTTTTAGGGAATTCCAGTCAAACAGATATTCAGATTCTCCATCAGTAATGTGCCACTATCTCTTAGCAGCAAAACCAAATCTGATTTGTACTAACCATTTGTCATGTCTGGACAAAGCCTCTGGTCCCACAATGCTAAGTGTTTCTCGGCATCATAGAAGGAGAATAACAGAAGAGCTTTATGGATTATGTTAAATCGACTAATGAGAAGAAACATAATTTAAGATAAACCTGAAGTATAAATTAAAAGTGTCTCAATACTGTCCTTCAACTGTATTTTACACCAGAAATATTAAGTTAAAGCATCATTCATATCCTCCCTCTTCATCCCTCAGTCATTTACATTGTTGACTAAGCAAACAGTGCACTTTCATTTCTCTGAGCTCATAACTTCTGGTTTGCCCATTGTGGCTGGTGCAGATGGTCGAGGTATCGTATGTTCCATTATTGATCTACTCATGTCCTGCTCTTGCGTGCAGCTGGGACACAATGGACCTGATGTGAATCTGAAAGAAAAAAAAACAAAACAAGAGGCAGGGAATCTGACACCGCAAAGTCAATCCCACACACCCCGCTTCCACAAGCGGGGAAAGCCTTTTAAAACATAATGGCACACAAGTGGAGCAAAGAGACAATACGATACAATTCCCTTTCCAGGCACTGTGTTTAATTAGCAGATTTTATCAGTCTGAATAAAGGGGACTCCATTTAACAAGCCAGTACGTACAGGTGTTTGTAATTATCATGGACCTCAATAGCACTGAGACCATCTGAATGGGCTCAGTAGTTAGTTGCCTGCTGCCCTCCCCTTCTCCTTTGAGACACTTTCAACAATTTATGAGTTAAAGGCATTGAGTGCTGGCCGCTCGTTCCCCCCTTCCTGATGTAACCATCAGGCTGGCTGGAAGACTGTACTTCAGCATCACCGCAACCAGCCCCCAGTTCTCCTCCTCTTCCCTTCCCATCCCCCCTCCTGCCTGGCAGTCAGACTCACACTGCAGCAGAGCCGCCTAACCGTGCTGCAGTGAGCGCAGGCAGATTTCCCTTCAGCTGACCCGCCGTCAAAGCGCTGCAGCGGGGACAGCCGTGCACCCAAACCCCGTCCTCAGCCCGTCTATCACACACCCTTTGTCTCTTTGTTCCCGTGCAGTCACTGCTTGTCCCACCGCCGATGCTCTCCCCCATCGCCACTCTCACTCTTTTTCCTGCTCCATACACCCCAACTCCCCCCCCCTCCTCCCCCCCCCCCCCCCTCCCCTTTTTTTTTTTTTTTTTGCGTATGAAATTGCAGAGCTCAGCATTCTTCTCCACAGGCACTTAGGAGAAAAAAGAAAAAAAATAGCAGCAGAGATGAGCTGGGCGGGAGGGTTTCTGGTGCACCATATAACTGGCCTCCTTCCAATTAAAGAAGAGAGCTTATGTTATTGAAGAGCTGCAGAGCCAATCAGGAGGCAGTGCAGGCATCGGTAGCAGGAAAGAAGCAGTTAGAGCGAGTGGGCAAGAGGACGAAAAAAACTGCAGTGTGTGAGTGTGTGTAGTTTTATCCCTCCCCTGAGCAGATCTCTATCAATTTGTGTACTCCAGTCTTGGGGTGCATTTGAATGAGTGTCTCTGTGTGTGTGTACATATATGGCAGAGTTTTAAGAGAACAGATTGAGGTGTGTTTACAGGGCTCTCTTTAGACTCATTAATTCTGAATCTGGAAGTAAGAAAAAGTAAGGGGAGACTGATCATTTTTTTCTCTATCTCAAAGTGTCTCGGAGCCCAGGGAAAGGAGGAAGAGCTCAACGTTCAGGAGAGCACCCTGCACAAAAGGTAAGCTGCTTCATTTCTCTTATCCCATGCACGCGGGGCGTTCTCACTTTTTTAAGTTGTGTCTGTCATGACCCACCCACTTATCGTCCCTCTCCTATTCTTCAGTGAGTATCAAATTTGAAAATGTTGCTAGAATGATACTTTTTCTTATATGTTTTTCCACATCACAAAGACTTGACAGAAAAGCAGAGGCTGAGGCAGAGAGGAAGGGAGGGGGAAGCTTAGTGTGGGACTCCCTGATGCTCCTGGGCAAGTTTCTGTGCACACGGTTCTCTAGTGCTGCAGTATCCCATTACATCCCTGTGCGGAGCTGCCTCAGCATCCAGCTAATGCCGAGCCGAACGGCTCAAAGTAGCCCCAATTGACTGAAATGAACTGTTTGCTCTGTCTTATATCCGTGTTCTAGCTTGGCAAAAAACATTTCCCCCCTTTTAATAATTAAATTCAGTGCACTCTTTTAAGCTCAGTGTGGTGATGAGAGTGTTGTCATTCATTTTAGTTTTGTCGTGCATACTGTCATTGTGTATTCTGGGTGTCAGTGGGATTGATTAGATAACAGACTGAACTGGCTCTGATCCGGTTCGAGTCTGATGGTTAGTTTTTGTTTGGTATATCTGGTTCTTTGGGGTGCCTGTCTTTCTGAGCGTGGAGGAAAAGTAGGTTAATTCATTAGCTGTTACAGGATGACTGATTAACATCCAATGGCAACGTTAAAAAAGAAAGAAAACCAAATTCTTATCCCATGTGGTATAAAACTGAATATATTGTCCGTCATGACTGTCCCCCTCAACTTATAAAAACAAAAGTAAACTGGATGTATAGTTAAAGATGTAGTTCATTCATCCATCTTTTCTCACATAACACACTCGCCACCAGCTTTCTTTGGGTCTGTATTTTGTCAATTTATTACATCCCTCCTTTCTGTTTTTTATTTTTTCTGAACTGTTCAGAAGCCTGACCTTCATTATTTGCAGATGAAGGTTTGAAGCTGCCCAGCAGTGGGCACTGTGTGTTTCTCCTTTCTCTGCACGCTGGCCTGCTGCACAATGGGGGGAAGTAACGGATGGATTGTGCCTTATCTGCCCACCCTGAAAAATAACCTTAGAAAGAATGAAGAGTACAGTGTGAACAGGCCTATTCATTTTTGCTTATGAAGGCTACTGCAGTCTCTCTCACCATCTGATGGTAGATATGAGGCAACAACCGATTGTCGGGTTGTTGCGATATGATCCCAACAATCTGATTTAAGTTGCATTATACTATTCAGGACTTGTTCAAATTCATAGAGGATTTAAAGGAAAGCTATTCTCTTTCAGCACCATGGACAGAGCACAGAGCTGCCACTTGTTTTAAGAGCCTCCCTCCAACTGTTTAAAGCAACTCTAAGTTTACTAGGTTGGATTACTGGGCCTTTCACCTCTGCTTTTTCACACCACTACGCAGGAAACATGTTTCATTATTTGACCACCTCTCCTTGCGGTGAACACAGGCCCAAGAGACTCTGAAAACACTCTCTGAACACCTTTGCCCTGTCCTTGTCTTTTGTTTATTATCTCTGTATGCTTCACTCGGGAGTGTTGCCATTATGGCTATGCTATGACCTCACTGTCACTGAAAGCTCAGATTGACAAACTCCGGGGCAAAACAGAGAGCTCTGAAAAGATTAGTCCAGTATGACATGAAGATATTTCAGCTTGCATTCAGCTATATGTATCCTAATGATTCTTAGGAAAGAGGAAAAAATACAACACAAATTAAGATGGTGCTTAAAGTCTTTGGTGGTGTGGTATATCTGTGGAGAACATGCTAAATCTGTAATGTCTTGAACTCCTAGAGCACTGCCACCCACTGTGACCCAAAGTTTTGTTTCATGTCATGGTTGAGAGCGACCAGGAAAATGCCTCAGCAGGATGCTGCTGGCATATTGAGAAACTCATTCAGATGGCAATGATCAGAAACTTAAGATCTTTAATGAGAAACGGATATGAGACGCCTCACTGTTCCAAGACTTAGGCAGTACCCTTCTTGAGGATAAACACAGTACAAAAGATGGAGGGAGTTTTTTCTTTTCGTTAGACAGAATGCTAAATTCTGTTTTTTCAATAATGCAAGCCATTTTTTAAATTCAGTCTTGTTGGCATTGCTGCATAAGCAAATACTGATCACGCTCCTGTAAAAGTTGGGAAAGACAATGGCAGCTGCGTAAATGAACAAGCTATTCTGTCTCGCTCTCTTTGTGGGAAGGTTTTAGAGGTAGGGAGCAGCTGCTGCACTTGTCATTGCTCATCCTCTGAGCGTGAATCCCTCTGTCCCAGCATGTGTGACATGGGCGCTTAGTATGCCCCTGTAAATGATGGTCTGAGCAACATAGCAGAGCAGCAGCGGCTGTCACTACAGTTGGGAACCGTTCCAA